TTCAAAAGAGGTCAATTAAAAATTGACCAGAAGTCATTTCTTTTTTTTTTTTTTTTTTTTAATTTAAAGTCTTGGGATTTCTTTAATAATTTTAAAGTACAGATTTACTTATAGTTAATTCTTATTTTTAAATTTGATTTTTAGACAATCATAGAGACAGGTTTTTAGGTAAGTTTTATGGCAGTCTAAAAAAGATAGCTTTGGTTGCCAATATCAAATGGATCACCTGTAATTAAGAATATCATTAACCCACCAATAAGATATATAATCAGATGCTGACTAACTTTACTTGATCGGCCTCTTCAGAAATTCCATTTTGTTAAATCTCATCTGAAAAGAAGATTCAATTTAAATATTTGGAAATAATTTTATCAAATTTCTCTTAAAAAGCCAAATAAAAAAAATATATTTTTCTTGTGACATTACACGATTCTCCTAATATATGACTGCTTTATTGCTAATGCATTTGAAAAACAGATAATCTCAATACATCTGCTAATTCTTCTTATTGTCATTAAACCATTTTGCAAACAAAAACAATCATTGCAACCAACCCACTGTATTTAAGGTTTTCTTTATCTGAATTAAAAAAATTTAGTTTTTGATTGAATTGGAAATGTTAGGAAAGGTTATTTTAATTCAGGTTACTTTCTTGAATCTAACAGAAATGACTGATACAAAAATATTTCCTTAAAAGAATGCAAAAATTACAAGGAATTGCAGTTTCATTTTTTAAAATAAAATTGTAGCATAATAATTTTATCTCTGAACTTCTTTCATGAACAGTCATCATTATTTACATTAGCATCAATAACAATGATGAGGATAATAGTCCAAATGAAATTTTTAATTATTTCTTTTAATTTACTAAAAAAAATTAACTGATCAAAAAATTATATTTATTTGGCATTATTTATTTTGAAAATAACTTTCAACATTATCCCCGACACAAACAAATTAGTTTTTAATGATTCCATTTTAAAATAAAGAGACTGATTATAAATATGGATGTTATATACAGTAGAATTCTAAACAAGATGATTTATTGTAAAATCTAATGTCTCTCTCTCTCTCTCTATGTAGAATGGGTTTTAATTCTTTTAACCAAAATAGCCATCATTTACAATATGCAATAGTTAGAGATTAAATTGGCATAGATCACAAGAAGTTGTCTATCATTTTGGGGAAATTTAGATTTTTCTTTCTTCCAAATTAACTCTTGCTTTAGTTTCATGCCCCCACCCTGGAATAATGAATGCAGAAGCAAGTACAGTAATTCCTGAAAATCTTTCATTAATTTAAATTTGTTAAGTTGGCTTTGGTACCTTTTCTTTTTTTTTAAATAAAAAATAGAACATTTTTGAGTTTGTGTCTTTTAAATTGGGCAAATCATTTTTTTATTTTAGGTTAGCATCTTTATTGTTTGGTTTTGAGTTTGAAGCAAAACAATTTGTCTAAAATAAAAGAGAGAGAGAGAGAGAGAAAAATATAATGAAAATCTGCTACTTGGGAATATGAGAAATTAAAATACTTTGCTGTGACTTGTGGATTAAATTTTGTTTTAATTTATTGTTTATGCTTTAATCAAAACAATGAAAAAAAAATGTTATTTCCAAATATTTTGTTTTCATTATTTACAAACTGTTATAAATTTGGAATTGTTTTTTGTTATTTGACAATCTGTTCTGGATATGCACTTTGAAATTCCTTTCATTAAACATTTAAAAGAGCATATATAGTTTATTTACAAGGACGAAGATAAGGAGGACCAGGCATTTGATTCTATTTTTTAAATCTTAAATAATTCATATTGTCTTAATTAAAAAAGAAAATTGTAGGAATTTTCTTTATACACTTGTTCACAATTTCTGAAAGTTTTTTCATAATTCACTTAAGCCAAATCTCCGGATTATAACTTTTAATCTATGAAAAATAATGTGGCTGAAAGTTGTTTTTCAAAATGCATAACCAATTTATTAATAAAATTCACAATATGCGAAAATCAAAATTTTTGTCTGTAGACATAAGGCATGGCTGTGGGAGTGAGTTGAAAAATGTTTTTAATGTTTTTTTTATAAAATAATTAAAAAAATAAAAATGAAAGTGTTTTGAAATTTTTTTTTTTTTTTTAAATGTATTTGTTTTATAAATATATGCATATGTGGTCTGTTTTTATTACATTTGAATCCATATAGCTGGAGATTGACAGTTATTACCTGACTTCATTATACAATGAAAAATTAAGTGCATTGACAAAGAACGAGATTATGTTGAAAATAAAATTATTAATTTCATTTTTGTGTTGCAGGAATGATTGCATGTCTGCTAAAGTTTGCTATTTTATTTCTTTTAAAAACACAAAATATCTTGACAGTTAAACAAAAATTTGCTATATGAGTCAGTAAATATTTTTGATGTTTCCTTATGAATCTACTTAAAAATAAAAACAACCTTTTGACAATTTTTTTTTTACAGGTTAAAAATCTCTCCTGCCAAAATAAGTTTCTGAGCCAATGTTGTTCCCTATTTGTTTAGTAGGAGAATTTCTTTTATGAAGTGCATTTTAATTTCTATTTGCTGATAAAGATAATAAATTAAGATTGAGACATTATTTACATTGTTCGGACTGTTGTCCACATCTTTGTTGCCCTATTCACAATGTTTCGTTCTTCTTCAGATAATTGGAATTTCAAACTGAGCCCCCTTCTTTTTTGTTCTACTTTCACGAGCCATGCCTCTGTCATCTTCTAGAGAAAAGCAATAATAAAAAAATTGCAACATGATCTTTGGTAAAATAAAATATTTACTGAGACATTAAGTTACTAAAAATTCATCTTCTGATGTTCTCAAGGACACATGTCCCAGTGACTTGACCTAAAGAGTTGCGAGTTCAATATCTGGCTACTGCAGTAGTGAACAAAAACTTGACTTAAGGGAGATAGTGGATGAAATAAAGGGTTCAGTTTGAAATTCCAATCATCTGAACAAGGCAGGAGCGTACAACGTCCTAAATGTCATGAATATGGCAACAAAGATGAGGACAACAGACTGAACAATAAAAATGGTGTAAATATTTACATTACTTCATCTCAGAAATATAGACAGATATAAGATTGAAACATTAAAAAAAAAAAAAATATGGTGATCACTCCTTAACTATATTCTCCAAGAAAGAAACTAAAGAATAAATCTTTATTCTATCATGACTCATCTCAAATTTTATTTCAGGATAATCAAGTAATTGTTGTTTTGTTTTTATAAAGTTAAGTCAGTTCAATGAGCTGGAACCACCACAGGATGCCTTTCCCTTCACTTTTGAAAGGAGGACATAGTTGCTTGTTCAGGACGGTTATACATTGCTAAGTCCTGACAAAAAAGTGAAATGAAAGAAGAATTAATATTCCAAGAACGAATCATGTTAGTAAGACTGTTCTAAATGGTAAAAGTATTGTCATAACAATTTGTTGGAGAATTTATTTAATATTTTATCTCTTTATTTTTTTAATCAACTCAAGGAAGACAACAATGCCACTAAGATGCCAGGGATTACTGAGTGTGAAAGAGAATGAGAAGACTTTAGTGAGGAGAAAGGACAATAAAAGAAACATGTTTATGAAACTAATTAAATAAGTTGGGGAGGGGTTAATTGTTTTCTCAGTATTAACTTAATTCTTATCAAATTTAATATTTTGTCCTAATTATACATTACAAGTTTTTATATATATATATATATATATATATATACACACACAAAACAAACTTGTTTATTATTGACTTTAATATCTTGAACCAAATAACATGAATTGTATAAAATTAAAAAAAAAAATGTTGAGAATCCCCCCTCCTGTCTCGAACTTGTTCATTTTTTTTAGTTCTGTCCTTTCTCCTCACTAAAGTCTTCTCATTCTCTCTCTCTCATATATGTATATGCTACAATTATCTATGTAATGATTAGAGTTATTAAAAATGCTTGTGTTTAATAAGTCCTACCATTGACATCAGAAATTATTGATATTATGGCAGTTTATAAATCAGTTGTATTATTCTAGGTCAAAAAAAAAAATTTCACCATTCGTGTAGGAAATTTTAACACTCTAAATTTATAATTCAGTTTTTATCCAAACTTGACAAAAACTAAATGTTAAGAATAAAAAGTAATCACAGTGCAATAGGAAAAAAAAAAAATCAATGTTTTGTTGCATTTGCACTAAGACAGAATTGCCAAAAAAAAATAGAATGCAAATATTACACTGAATTTATTTCAGGTTGGCGTTTGAAATGTATAAAACTAACAAGTCAATATTGTGAGTCATTATCCAAATTTTAATTATAAAAATGTTGCTACTTTCTGGACAATTTTAATTTTCATATTTTATTGTAACATTTTTTCTTTTAAAGCTATTTTTTTCTTTTGGCTTTGGCTAAAATAAAATTGGGCTTGAATCTGATGAAATTCTAATTCTAAAAAATGGTAAGCTCACTGTTCTAATTAATTTAGCACTGGTTAACATGAAAATTATTGTTGCTACTAAATAGTTTTTTTTTTTTTTTAATTACTAAATACTTATATTAAAAAAAAAAAAAACAGCCTATTCATGTCCATACACGTAATCTTTGCCATTTACAGCGATCTTTGTTTCATCTTCACATGTTTATAAAAAAAAAATAAAGGAAAGGAATTTGCTGTCTCAATGAGCTAACAATAGATTGATCCTAGATCAAGGTTAACAATGGCAGTAACGGCTGCTTGAGCAGGTAAAATAGTTACAAGAGTGATTTATAAATATGTTCATCTATCCACTTTCATTATGGTTTGTCAGTGATGATCAGATATCAAGCAAAGGTAGATGTGGATTCATGCCTCTTCCATATGTTATTTACCTTGTAAAGCATACAATTTCTTAAATATAAATATTTACTTGAGATGAAAAAAAATGATATGGAAATTGAAAACAAATAGCTTTTTGTGTTATTGAAAAAAAAAAAAAATGAAATTTGTTTTATTCGTTTTCTTCTGCTAATTTTGTTTTTTTCCACACAGGTTCATGATCACTGTCATTGTCGTCATCTTGCTTTTGCTCTGACTGAGTTTGAAAAATGGTTTTTGGTTGAGTTCTACAAAAGAGCATGAAAAATTATTATGCCACAAAAACTGTAGAAAGATAAATGAAGCTAGAAATTTCATATTCTGATTCACCCCAACAATTATTCACTTTAAGTGAGATATACAAACAGAAATGGGAGGAGGGGAAGGATACAGGTGAATAGATAAGAAAATAAAAGGAATTAAAAAGAATTATTAAATATGTAATATGACAGCAGTCTTTGTTGACATTATTAAAACAATGGTTTCAAAACTTTAGTTGAGTTTCAATTACAAAGTGTTACTAATTCTTTTAACTTGTTAACAAAGATCAGAAAGTGAAGCGAAGTTGTTAGAAACAAACTGTAAAAAGGTTAAAAGAACTTCCAAAATTTCATTATATTCAGATATTAATTGTGGAGATTGGGTTTTGTAAGAATCATCTGAGTGCAGAGAATTGTGGATAAATTGTCATGTATTTGCCAATAGAAATGTCCACTTCACTCAAGTCAGCCTTTATTTCAAGATTAGTAAACATTCATCTTAAATGCAGACAACGTAAAAGATTTATCAGTGATTAAATTTTTACTTGTTAAATTGGAAATAACCAGTAGAAGCATTTTTTTTTTTTTTAATATCTAAGCATCAAATTATTTTCCTACTGCTATTTCTGTTTATTAGTGTAGAAAATAACTAAAGTTCCACCACCTGCAGCACACACACATGCCAGAATTGATCTTGTCACTTCTCGATGTAAACATTAGAATGAAAGTTTGGATTTATTTAAGAATTCTGACCCATGACATTAAGATTTATAGATTATTGTGAATTTTGGAATATATTTTATTGGGTATATGTCAATTTGTGGTAACAGGAGAAGTAAACCTTGTGTCTAATTTGAAAAGTTTTTTTTTGTGTGTGACACACACACACACACACAAAAAAAAAACTTTTCAAATTAGACACAAAGTTTACTTCTCCTGTTTTGTAATAGATAAATAAATTCCATATATCAATACCTGGCAGTGAATATTTTTGGAGAAGCAGAAGCAAATATCTAATGTGCTTCATGTATCTTAGGCTGAATGTTGATTGTTTGAAAAGAGACAAAGACTTTATTTGTTCTATAAACAAAGGATCTTTTATTTTTGTGCTTGATGTCAATGAGATGAAATAACATCAAGGATTTCATATCAGATGTCATTACCATTTTTTTTAATATTTAATTCCTTTATAAATAAACTTTTTATGTTAGACTGAAGTAAAAAAATAATACTTGGGCACTCTAAGTTAGAAACATCATTTCCTATCACACATCATATTCATCATTGCAATTTTGACTGCCACCTTCTACCACCGTGGTTGTCAATATAGGGAGCAATTTGATTTTTAAGCGAAGGGGCAATTCTAGAATGAGTTATTAATTTTTTTTCTAGTGTGTGTGTGTGAGTTAATACATATGATGCATATATGGTAGGCATTCATAAAAATATTTGTGTGTATGTATTTATGTACATGTGAAATTATATATGCACTGCGCACACACACACACACATATATATATATATATATATATATTTTTTAACAATTTCTTCAGTACTCGCAATTGTTCTTTTATTTTTCTCTTTCATGGATGCCATGTTCAAATTTGATGCTAAGAAATAGTTATTTAAAACACTGAATAACAGCAGCAAGGTTTGTTGCAGAAAAATCATTTTGTACAAAACCTGAATATTTCTCAACATGAATTAAAATTTTTTTGTGAATTAGTTTATTTTGTTAGAAACAAAATTCTTCCACAAAGTGATGAGGATGGATGTTAATGAGGATGTTCTTGGATGCTGATGCACTGTGATGCTTTACAATCAAGAAAGTTAAATATCCCAATTTTATTATCCAAGTCCTATGATAGAATCAGGAATAAGCAACATTTCCTGTTACAAACTGATATCAATCTTGACTGGTTTTGTTTTGCTAGGTCGAGAGAATCATTTCAAGACTTCTGTTTTATTTATTCATTGTTGCAAACAAGGCAAGGGTGTATCAAGCTTGGGGGAAATACCTAAACAATAGATCTCCCAACTGTTATGGAGGTAACAGGCAGAGAAAGAAAATGACACGAGGAGTAACAAAAGGCATAGCAACTTCAGGAACAAAATATCTACAAGACTGACTCCACAAAACACTGAGGCTTGCCAACAGCTGGTTTTCCCTTTGCTTTTATTGGCATGAGGCATCTTACAAAGTTGCAGAGAGGCCTGTATCTAGATATACCAAGCTGTGCTGTTGCTAATGGGGGAAACCCGAATGTAACTGGTGTTGATCAACATGTCTGAGGCCTCATTTGCATCTGTACCAATGTGCATTCGCCACATTCATACAATTAATTGTATTAATAAAATTTATAGAAGAAAGCGCAAAATAATCTGCATTTATTTTGTTCGCTTGATCAGTTATCAAAGATTTTAATTACAGATTTATAAGTCAGCATAATGAAATTTATACTGGCTTTTTTGAGTGAGAAGAATTTATGATAGAAATTCTTTTCATTTTAATGATCAGGTGTAGAAGGTTAATTTACATGTTAATACCCTTGGGAAACGTATGAGTCCATTGCTTCTCCCCACCAGTTATGGATAAAGAGTAAGATAGGCTGATCTAGAAGGAAAAACTGAATTCAAACCCTAACCCTTACATTTGATTCTTCATACATCAGTTGTCCATGGGATGTTAGTATATTTAACTCATTAATGACAACTGTAAAATTTGGTATAAAATTCTAAAAATAATAATCTGGTATTAATCATAAAAATAAGGAATTACTTAGGTTTTTATCTGTAATCCATTAATGCCCATTGTCACAAAAATAGGTCATTGGATATTGAATGGGTCAAACAGATTTTTATCAGATATGAATTAGGAAAGATGACGATAGACATTCAACTTTTGAACTGAGTTGACAAGCAACAGACAATCATTGTAAACAAATGTATTTTCTTTTTATTATATTTTAAGTAAAATTTAAGTAAATTTTTCTAAATCCAGTTAAATATTTTTTTAAATTAACTAATTTTTATAAATCATCTATTTCTATAATGGCAAATTTTGTAAGATTTCTAATTAGAAGTTAAATTTTTTTGTTGGCACTCATTAATTGTGGCAAAATTAAAATTAATTCTGAATGACAAAAATTGACATTAGAAATCTAGAATCTGTTTCAAATACATAATTTTTTAAAATTTTATGACTAACTTCATGCTATTTTCTAGCAATTAAAATTTCAAAGATATTTAGATATATCCAACATTCTTAAAAAAAAAAATGATTTGTAATGTTTTTGATAGCAAAATAGTTGAGATGAACAGATTTATATAAATTTATTCATTTTATGGTAGACAGATTTTGAAATTAGGAGAAAATTGTAATTTCACTTACCTTTGATAGGCAGGTGACACCCAGTAAGGGTTTTCTTCTGCATCTTTGGCATGTCTCAAAATGGCCTCGCGTGGGTTGATGTCACTAGGGTCTGGTTTCTTAAGCACAAGTTGTTGGACCACATACTGGGACAGTGTAGCTCCTTGGGCACCCACACGACCACCTTGACCTACCAAGAGACAAGTGGATTATAAACAAATGCTTAACTATTTTACTCAACATAGAAGCTGTTTTCCTCATGAATTGAATTAAAATTTGCATTGTTTAGGTAGTTAAAGTATGTCTTTAAAAAAAAAAAAAGTGGGGGTGTGGAGCAACATCAATTTTACTGAGATTTCATATTAGGAAAAGACTTTATTATTGTAAATTGTTTGTTTTGTTTAACGGCATTTCAACCTTAGTGGTCACTTTATGCTGAAAATGATTTTGGTATAGCTGGCAACATTATTTCTTTTTTCAAAAACCCACAGCTGGCAACATCATTCTTTCAAAAACGTATAGCTGGCAACATTATGTTATTTTTTTTTTTTTTAAAAAACATCCTTTCACAGTGTTTTGACCCCAGTTACAATTCCATTGAATAAGATTTTGTTAAAAGACATATAGCTGGTAATATTTTTCTTTTTTTAAACGTATAGCTGGGAATATTATTTTTCAAAAAAGTAGAGCTGGGAATATTATTTTTCAAAAAAGTAGAGCTGGGAATATTATTCCTTTCAAAATGTATGGCTGGTAATACTACTTTTCCAAAACCGTATAGCTGACAACCTTAATTTTTCAAAAATGGTCTTTCTGTTGGATGTAGTTTATCGCCATACCTAATATGTGGATGTAGTTTATCGCCATACCCAGGACGCAGATGCAGTTTACCGTCATACCCATGGACGCGGATGCCGTTTATTGTCATACCCATGGACACGGATGTAGTTTATTGTCATACCCATGGACACGGATGTAGTTTATCGTCATACCCAGGATGCTATTATTGTAAATGTATTTATTGTTGTAATTTGAATGTCAGAAATTTTTTTAAAAATGTTGTTGAAAATTGGATTAACAGAAAGTATTCATCGTAATCAAATTAAAACGTGTGTTAGAGCAATGAATTGCAGAAATGGAGAGCAGAGTTTGAATTCCAGTCAAGTTCACTTATGTGCTAATACCCTTGGGAAAGGTATAAATCCAACTCTTCCCCCTCCAGCTATGGGTAAATAGCAGGACAGAGTGGGTTCTTTAGCCTTGCGTGGTGACCAGTTTAGGAGAAAAAAAACTCTGAATTCAAAACTATGTAGCTCTGGTGAAGCATATACTCTGCAGCTAAAGGAAAGAATCATTTGTATTGACTCAATGATCCCAACTGCAATCGGATTCTTTTTTTTTTTTTGCAATAAAATTTTCTGTCATTGATTCCTTTTATTTAATTCTTATTTGTCAGGTTTACATAAAGTTCAGGTGGCAATAGATATAAAAAAAAACAACTTATTTGGAAGAAGGTCAAATAGGAACATTTAATGAAGTTGCAGAATTTTTTTTTTTTTAATATATTCCCTGAAATGTGTGTGTTAATGTGGTGGGTGTTTATATGCCATCAAATAATTTAGATGAAAGTTAATTTTTTTTTTTTTAAAAGAGCTTGAGAGACTCGTCAGTTTCAAAGTCAAAACAAAGAAATTAATGAGAACACCCTGTGTAGTTACAATGGGAAAAAAAAAAAAAAAAAAAATCAAGAATGAAACGTAATTTATCCCAGTTTATTTCATTGCATTGAGCCTTTTTGGTTGAAGACAATGAGTTCAGTAGCATATAAACTGTCTCAGGCAAATCAATAAAATCTGTCGAATCTTTTACATACCTAGGAAATGAAATAAATTCTACTGAAAAGGATGTGAAAATTTACATAGTTCGAACCTGGGCAGCCTTAAATAAAATGGATGTAATCTGATCTACCAGACAACCTTAAGCGAAGATTCTTTTGAGCCATTATAGAGGCAGTGTTGATGTATGGTGCCACTGCCTGGACATTAACTAAAACCCTTGAGTCTAAGCTTGAGGGAATCTACACACAGGTGCTGAGTGATATATTTAACATCTCTTGGAGAAAACATTCAACTATATCACAGCTCTATGGACCCATCTCTGATATTTGTACAATCTTATGTGAACACAATACACTTTGCAGGACACTGCTTGCGAGTAAAACAATAACTTGTAAGTGCTCTGGACATCTAGCCATGGAGAGAGTTGGTTGTTCAGCTAGCAACCACTTATATCGACCAAGTATGTAATGACACAGGATGCCCCCCCCCCAATGATGTTCCAACCTTGATGCAGGACCGAGATAGTTGGTGTGATAGACTCATGAATATCCAAGCTAGCTCAACTGAATAAAATATATTTAATTTATGTAAGCTAAAAACTAATTTAATATTTAGAGTGGAATAAAGAATGCAATGTCTATTCTTTCCTGAGCAACATTAGATTCCCTTACTATCTAAAAATAAATATTTTATTTTATTTTATTTTTTTTTTGTTGCATTTTAATGCTGCTTTCAGAAACTTGTTCTAGGCACATTGAAAACAATAAAAATAAAATGAAGCAAAAGTTTAAAAAAAAAAAAAAAGCTAATAACAATGATCTTTTATAGGATGGGTTTTCAGGTAATTTAAGAAATTTGAATAACATTACAGGACATGTTAAGAGGAAAGTAAACAGTAATAAATATAATTTTCTCTTACCTGGTCCCGAAACAGGCAAGTCTGGCCTCCTTGTCTTCAGTGGGTCCTTACGTACCTTCTCTTCTTGCTTACGTGTACTTATTGGACGCCCTTCTCGAAACATGGGCAATGCATATGCTGAGGAAAATCAGGAAATAAGAGGAAAAAATGTATAGGCATTGCGTATTTTCCTCCTTTTTTTTGTTTAATGCAAAAATGTTATAGAAACATGATCGAAATAAGAAAACTGGGAATAATTTGAAGTACAATGGAAATTTCATCAAAGTTTGGCAAGGAGTTGAAATTTCTGAAACTTACTTATACTATTCTACTTATTTTGTATGCATGACTGTTATTCTTTCTTAGCTAGGATCAGAGTGTAGTATCTGTGTCTGATCTGCAGCCCTTTGGAGCTTTGAAAACATAACTATCAGTTATGCTTTCTGACAGAGAAACCTTCTTCCTAAAAATAATAAGGATAGAGGGATCTCGGAAAAGCAAGGAATAAGAAAGGTGTGAATGTGGAAAATGAGGAGACAAAAAAGCTGGAAGAAATTGAGAAGGGCAAGGTGAAAAGAGGCAAGAAAACTTGAGAAAAATAAAAATAAAACCAGGTGAAAGGAAAATAAATAAAATATAAAATTAATGATCAAAGAAAGAAAGCCTTGAAAAGGCAGGTAAGGATTAAGTAATGTAAATATTATGATACATTAAAATTCTTTATGAAAAATTAGAGAAGATGTAGTAGAAATATTTGTGTATTAATCGCTATGTGTATGAGATTTAAATGAAAATATGGATGCACAATAAATATTGGGGAAGGCAAAGAAGAAGAGAATTGGAAGATACAAATAAGGAGAAAGAAAAGTAGAAGCAGGAGATAATGGATAATGTTAGCTGACAGCACTCACAAAAATTCTATGAATCCAGTTAACATGGATGGGCAATGAAAATTGAGAAGAGAGTAGGAAGATACAGGTATGAGAAAAGAGCAGAGATAATGGCTAATCTTAGTTTATCAACACCTATGGAAATTTATACGGGTTCAGGTAGCTTTCATTATTAGAAATAATAACAGTGGGCATTGAATTTGATTAATAAAAACAAGTTTAGTTTTCAAGGAACATGATGACCATTACTTACGAGTGATGATATGTTGAGCTGTGATCATTTCAATCTGCTTAGCCTTGCGTTCTTTCTTCACAACACACAACATAGCACCTCTGAAAGAAATGTAAGCAAGATACATTTTAGAATTTCAGAAAACAAATATCACAAGTCCCATAACCCATTATGATTGTTGTAATTTTGTCTTTGTTCAAAATAGCTGAGAATTAGGAAAGCTGTAGTTAGAGTATTGAAGGAACAGAAGACTAAATAGAAGGAAAAAAAAGAAGAGGTTTATTAAGTACTTATACAGAGAACAGAAAGACTTGAGTAACTCAAATCCTACTCTAATGTAGCTACTTGCCATATTTATAAGTAGGAGCAGTCCATTGTCACAGTTGGAGGGAAGAGCAGGACATATTTGTTCTACTCTACAAGGGTCATTGAGGTACTACAACTGTGGCAACAGTCAGTGTGTCTAGAGCAGGACAACCTAATGGAATCCAGTCTGCCTTACTATTTAACCTATAGCTGGAGAAAGATGAATTCATGCCTTTCCCAAGGGCATTAATGCAAAGTGAATGAAACGGAATTGACCAGAATTTAAATTTAGAACTATCATCCAACAAAGGCCATCAAAAATAATCATTACTGCCTTTGGTTAGAATTAAAATTTTGGTTACAGCACTAAATGCTGATGTAATATCAATGACTTTGTCAATGTAAAAATTGGAGTAATAGTATTGATATTGGGGCTTGTAACAGAAGGTCATTTGAAGTGGTTCTTGTTCAACATAAATGCTAGAGTTGTTTGAATGATTCACCAAATGACTTTTCTTTCTACCTTTGTTCCTTTAGAGGTGGAGATGAAGTTCTATTAAAAGTTAAATCACTGTAATGTCTATTCCCTTCACGGTTTTAAACTTTATCAGTCGACATTACAAGGAATTTGGGATCTTCTTAGGCCTGCTTCTCCCACTTAAAAGAAAACTACTTCCCACGGTGTGGAGTCCAGCATCCACTGAACAGAAGATTAAATGTAAATTTTATTAAAACACCTGGGTAGGTGGCATGGAAAACACAAATAACTAGAAAAAGAAAAATATAAACAAATACCCACTTAAAATTAAAAGGTGTTCAGCTTATTATCTCCCATAATGGTTTAAGGAAACAAAATTATGAAATGGTAACGTTTTCAAAAATTGAGGAACTATAGAAGGTAACCAATTTTTTAAAGAAAATGTGACAATTTCAGTTTAACATCTGACGCAAGACCTAAACATTAGAATTAGTAAATAATCATTAAAGAAAAAGAGGAAAACTTACAAAACTTAGTGTCAAAATATATATACATTTTGAAGATAGTGAATTGTTGGGCACTTGAGTTTGTGTCATAAACTAACAAGTACTTAGTGTTATTATCAAACCAGCAGAGACATGTTGTAGCATACAATACAACCTATTATGTAATGTATCTTCATTCTATTGTCTGTTGCTTAGTTTAGTTTGTACTACTGAATATCCAGTCTGTCAAAATGGCAGCATTACATGAAAAATAGCAATTTTCTATTTTTTCTAAAATGGACCAAAACAGCCATGCAACAATGTTATAACAATGCAACAGTAAAAGTGTTAATAAGTGAATTGATATGGAAGGCAATGATATTGAAAAATAGGGATTACTTTTATTAATAAGCTTTGGACACATTGAAGGACCTGCGTATTCATGTAGAATGTGATAAAATTTATCTCAAAATAAAAAGTTGGAATTGAGAGATTTGCATTACACATAATTGTAATATTTTAACAAGTATCTTTCCTGTCTCGTTGATTTAGTTGATTCAAATAATTTGCAATGTTAATTTATTTCTGATCACTGAATATACAGATGGTGAGCACTTTTCCATGGCAGAAACACTCATCTTTACCCCCCCTAAACGCTCACCTGCCACCCTTGTAATTGAATGCATGGTATTAGGTTGGTGCGAAAATAATGACGTAATAATGTCGTTTTTTGACATATTTTTAACGTCAAAAACGACATTATTACGTCATTATTTTCGCACCAACTCCAATATAAACTGAAAACTGCTCATTCCACATTTTTCACTTAAGGATTGCATTATGCTTGAAAATAAAATTTATTCATGTTTTTTTTTTTGCATAACAGAATAGGGATTTGCATTATACATAATGGATGACGTTGGATTTGGTGGTAAAAAGTATATTTTATGCACTGAATAATAAATGCAGTAAATGAATTTGCCCCAATTTTACCTGTGACTTTTCTTGACATCATAATAAAGAATGGCATCACCATTTCCACAGCCAACAACAATCTGGTTCAGCTTGGGATGCCACAAACACCGAATTGCACTCTGCAATTAAAAAACAAAAAATATTAATGACTCAATGACTTTAAATGCTTCTTTATTTGGTGAGACACTGTTACCAAATAAACAGTCTCATGAAAATGAAAGGCATTTGCATGTAATTTAGGAGCCTCTAGAAGTAAAAATGGATACAAAACATTCAAATATATACAAGGACAGTATTTAGAATTAAGTTTATAACAGGTTTATTATTAGTAGTTGTTTAAAACAGTGAGACTTAATGCTTATTTTTCCTTTTATAAATCTATACAAAAACTGGAACTGCATAGGAATTCCATTTGTCCTTGTAAAAGAAATTAAATAAGAACATCTATCATTTGTGTGATATAAAGCATCACAATATCAATTTCTATATATAAGATTATTTTGAATTTAAAATGATTCAAATACCCAAAATCAGGTTATAAAATATCAGACACAGATACTACACTCTGATCCTACCATATTGACTTCATTAAACTCTTACAATTTCTTAAAAAGACGTTTATGAACCAACTTAAAAATAACCCACATAAATTATTCTAAAAATTATGAAATTTAATGTTTTGTAATTTTTTTTTATTTGTGAGGCACAAATAAAAAAATAAAGTACTGATATGTATCCAATAAATGTTGATCAAAAAATTAAATGAAATAGAAGAAAATAAAATGCACCCACTATTTCAATTACTGTGTTTGCGTATATACAGGAACTACAGAGGAATCTCTAAAAAGGCCCACATTTTTTATCATTTCATGAAAACTGTTGTTTCAATGAACCCTAAAAATAAATCTTTTGTCCTAAACAAGAAAGCAAAATAATTTCTTCTGTTAAATATAATTTCTCTTCACTTATCAAGTAAATCTGTAAAAAGTTGATAAGCAAGAATTAACCTTCCTTTGCATATAGACTGTTGCCACGAAATGGGATACTTAACTACAAAAAAGATAAAAACACAAACAAAAGCATATGGAATGAGATCGGCTAGACTATATATCCAGGCACATCTGTGAAAAAAAAAAAAAAAAAAACTTTAAAATTCACAAATCTTTAGCACTTCTTGGTAGATAATTATAACTGATGCTTGTATTTATATCTTCTTCTTCTTTAGTCCAATGAATTTTTGCTAGAGCTGTGGTTGCCAAAGCAAAGCTTGTGAGCCACATGTGGCTGCCAAAGCAAAGCTTGTGAGCCACATGTGGCTCTTTGACCTTTAATATGTGGCTCATTGAAATATGTTGGCTGAGCTCCTTATATCATCACAGTTGAAAAGATAAATAAGAAAAATTTCAACCTTTATGTTGTAGCATACCTACAGACAATAATGGGTATGTTCCCATTTACATAAATACAGTAGTAAATACTGCATGTTGGTCTGCAGTTGGAGATTCATTGTGGAATTCACTTGACTCACTTCTAGCAGTTGACTTCTTCTACGTGCTGCTAGAGAATCTTATATGTGTTGTTCTTGTTCTAAGTATTATCGTTCATTACCAAACTTTATTTGACGATTCTATTCAGTAACCTTCACTAGGTTACAACACTTTATAATTATTTGCTAGGTAGGAATTGAAACCTCACTGGATTAAAATGTAAGTTTGGTGTTTATGGTTAGTAAAAATACTTAAGAAGTTGAATCCTAATTTCAATGCTAGATCTGAATGAGGCATTGTTCTTTAGTGCTGAGGGAAGGAATGGTGGGAGGCAGAGGGTTTAAAAAAACTTTCAATCAGCAAAGGCTACAGAGGAATGTTAAAAGACTGAAAAGGTAGGGGGGGGCCAAGAGGACTGCACTCACATCATGTACATTAATGCAGTGTAGCACAAGATGTTGAATTGTGCAGACCTTGTTGGCACATTTCAGATACAAGTTTTGTTTAAATGTGTCTGAAAATTTTGTGAATAAAAATGGCCTCCTCAAATTGTAAGGAACAAAAATCGGAAGATGAAAACAGAAATTTTAAGCCAGAGTGGAAGGAAGATTTTACATTTGCTGTTAAAGGAGGTAAACATTTGTGCCTTATCTGCCATGTGTCACATGTGTGAATTTTCTTCATATCTTGCAGCTTGCAAACATCTGAACTTTATTGTCTGTGGCTCTTACATTAAGCCAGTTTAGCCATCCCTGTTCTAGACTTTATACTTTGTCATCCACTTGCCTAATTTTCTTTTGAACATAATATCAATTTTAAAGTGTAATCTACTGAAAAACTCTCTTAATAAAAAGATTTTATACATTTCTACCAACACTATCTGTTTGGTCAATTAATGACAAATCTTTTTTTTTATGGAAACAACTAATTTTACTCTTTAAGACAAAACATCAAAGTTGGTGGTTCTCAACTAATTTTGGGTCATGACCCACTTTGGTATTTCAAAAATTCTGGTGCACTAGCCAAACCTATAATATTTAATTTTTACATATTCAAAATTTTTACTGCAATTCATATGAAGGAAGATTAAAATGCCATTAACTTGGTCTCTAAACAAGCTTCCAGAGACTATGACATCCATGAAATAGAGAAATTTAAAAAAAAAAAAAAGGCAGTTAAATATATATAGTTTAAAAACATAATAGAGAACTGAAAAGCAGAAATATAAAATATTTGAAAGAAAGTTTATTCTGTAATATACTTTCATCATTTTAATCATGAAATAATAAGGTAAAATGAAATTTGAGCTCACTAGAAAGCAATTCACTGTTAATAACTCATTCTCAAATTGCCCCCTTATTCTGTTGGTATAGTAAACCAAAGGGTGCACATCCTATGCATGCCCCACCAAAATATTGCCATATGCCCCATGTTGGGAATCAGTGATTTAAGTTTTGAATATATCATTTACTAACATTTTGCAAACACACAAATATATCAAAATATTTTGCTTGCTGGCAATATCAAATTAAAATTATTAGATTGGAACTAAAACTAAAATAAATGCTTCAAGAAAGATTTTTCATTGCTTAAAATGCATGTTAAACCTTAGATATCACAAAATCTAATACCTATATATATATATATATATATATATATATATATATATATATATATATATATATATTGGTTGGATAGATAAACTCACATCTATCCAACCAAATATGTTAGCTCTATCTCTGATATTGAGCGCTTTCTAATAAGTACCGCGCATATAATATATAAATAATTATACATATATATATTTATTTATATACACTTTTCACACACACATATATATATATATATATATATATATATATATATATATAACAGCTGAAGATAGGTGAGGATCTATTAAATTTTCCAAACATAACAAGGAGATAACCCAAGTTCTTTAACAATTTGTATTATATAAATCTGATCATTTCATGAGAAATTTAATTACTTTGGAACAACAATAAATTATAGCTCAAGTCAAGTGAAATGAAAACGTCAAAGCAGTCCGTTAATTTGTTGCCTGACTCGTTTTTATGAATTTCAGCTGATCACTGGCCATTTTTCCTTGTTTTTGTATAATTGAAATTCAGACACACTTATGATCAACATTTCAACTGTTATTTTCTGTCATTGCTCTGCTTAAGTCAAAAAAAATTTGTGTCCATTTTGAGTTTGTAACAGAAATAGAATAAATGCTTCTCTTGTATTCATTTCTTTACTGAAAAACAAAATGTGAATGACATCTAAAGTGAAATTTCATTGATAAGAGAGGAGAAAAAAAAGGAAGAAAAAAACAGAACAAAAAACTGTGGCAAAGTTGAACCTTTGTGCCCCCACCCCCCAAAAAAAACTTGGAGTGTGAAAAGGCTGTTTTTTTTCCCATTGACACTGCTATTATTTTAACTATCTTCACTTCGCGCCAATGTTTGTTGTTTTAAAAGGTAATGATTAGAATTGTAATAAAGCCTAAACATATGAAAGTGAATTTATACATTTTTTTTTGTCCTTGAGAATTGACAACAAAAATATTAAACACTATTCATTAGATAGTTTATTTACAATAATTTTATATTCACAACATTCTAAAAACTAATACAATTAAAACTAATGCAATGCAATATTTATCATTTACCAATTTATAAAGAAATAAATGTAAAAGCAGTTTTTTTATTCATAAATTTATAAACATTTACTAAATTATTAAAATATGTGAACCAACTACAAGGAAATGCTTATTATTTACCATTTAATAAAGTTTGAATTGATTAACAATTAGACAATGTTTTGCCAACCATTCCAATATACAAACTAATAAATAGTGTTTAGTATTTTTGTTATAATTTCCAAGAACAAAGAAAATGTATAAATTCCTTTTCATCATGTTTAGATTTTATTACAATTCTAATTATTGCCTTTTAAAACAATAAACATTGCTGAGAAGTGAAGGTAGTTAAAATAATAGTGGCATCAAGGGAAAAACTGTCCTTTTGACATTTTGTTTTCTTTTTGAGCATGAAGGTCAAAGATTGCCAAAAGTGCTTTTTAAAAAATAAATAAATAGCAAATTATTAGGTAGACGCAAAAGTACCCAGCATTATCTTTAGAGAAATCTTTAAAGTCTTGCAAAACATCCCCCTCTCAACATTTCATCTCTTATTCCATCAACTGTAGTGTGTCATTTACAAACCTTATTTCAAACAATAGATTCCACAAGAACTTCTAGAAAGGAACATCAGTCAATGTTTAAACATTTGATTTTATCTTCTCTTTTAGAAGATAATCACAACCAATGAAGACTCTATAAAACAACAAAAAAAAAAACCTAAAGCAAGGAAAATCCTAGTTTGATCCAGAATAGCCTTTGGCAATTCAACCTAAATGGAATCTACCAGAAGAAAAAACTTTTGTTTGGGATTTGGAAGGGAATTTATCAACTAGAAACCTGAATTGTTCATTTTTGACAAAATATGCAATTTCATTGAAAGATGGCACAAGGTCATAGAAAACCGAGCAAAATAGTTTAATGTCAGAAAAGTGCTGGATAATTTCACATCAACTGAATACCAAAGTTATTTTATTTTATCAATAATATCAAAATGTTTAAACAAGATTATACTTACGCTTTCAGGTATTTCAATATGGGTGACAGTTTTCAGAGTCTCTCGCTCAAGGAACATTAATTTACCTGTTCCTCTAACTTTTTTACCCTCTGACACACCTGTAATCACCATCTTGTCATTGGGGCTGAACTGGCAGTCAGTTCTGAGAGGATAAACAACATTTTGGTTCTAATGAACAAAAACAACCTAATAGTGTGTAATAGATGACATGGAAGTTTTAGTATAACAAATAGTAAATAGTAAATAAGAAATTTGGTAGAAATTCAAATATAACTGCATCTATTAAAAATGTTCTTACCAATAGAATAAAATCATTTAATGATTTTAAGTTGTTCTACACAGATGCAGATAAAAAAAGAAATTTAATATGGAATACATTTATTTATCTATTTATTGTACAAGAGGGATGTTGAAAAGTTTTTGGCCAGACCTACTTTCTAAATCTGACCAAGTGACCAAACAACAGTTGGGATGAGGTTTTCTCAGCACCCACTCATAAAACAATGTTTATATAATGTTTTTTTTATCAATTCAAACATTATTTTTAGTGGATTTGAGTAGACACTCCATTTATTTATTAAACAGTATATTGGAGAACACATAAGATTTCACAAATATTCAGGCTGGTAGCCAAAAAATAAATAAATATACTGTTTAATAAATAAACGGAGAGTCTACTCAAATATGAGTATCCTCTAAAAATATTGTTTAAAGTGATAAAATCTGTCGGATTAATAAATAAAATATCCATTACTTTAGAATTTACCGTATCATAATGTACATAAGCAAATAGAGTGATTTGTTTTTTACGGCTTATCGACCATTTGCAGGTTATTTAAAGCCAGGAAATATTGTTAGATTGTAAGGATTTTTTTTTTTTTTGAGATAATAATGATTTAGTGATACAAATCTTAGCTGGTGGGGAGAAGAGGTAGATTCCTATCTTTCCCCTGGGTATTTGCACATAAGTGAATATAACAAACTCAACTGGAATTGGAATTCAGCTCTCCATTTTGAAGCCATTATCCATTATGCCACCTGCACATTCAAGTTTAAAGCAAGTGGTATTGCCAATAAAAGCAAATAGAAACAGTTTTTAAAAATAAGATAATTGTGCCGACTTACACAGGAAAGAGATTTAGAAGATTACCAGTCGAGACAAGAGGCTTTTTGAAGTTTCTGATGTCCCACAATTTGAGAGTGTCATCACCTACAGTGAAAGAAATTTAAGAGAAATAAGAAAACAACACTTTCTTTCAGTGTTCATAATACTTGAGAATATTGTACACAAAGCAAACAGAATTATAATTCACACAAGACTCAAGAGCCACTCAAGGTAGAGGATTATACTAAATGAGATTGTTGTAAGGGCATACATGGACGAGCAGGAGGTGCATATTATAAGGATATGTAGAATAAATAACAGTTGACACTCGACTTGAAGAGGTTAAGATTGTAGTGATTGAGGAAGCATCCACCCAGGAGTCGATTCCACATTGCAACTGTTCTGGAGAAGAAGCCCTCTGAGTAGAACTTCCTCCTTACCAATGAAATACAAAGGGAATGAGGATGAGTCGACATAGTGTCCCCTAACTGTGAAAGCCTGAACTGGTGGAACCAAAGAATGTAGTTTGTCTTAACATCTGCCATGAAAATAGGAATAGCGTAGCAAGAAGCTAGCAACATTTTGTCTCAGGGAAAGAGGCTGTAGGGTGGAAAACAATCACCCACAAGGTTGCACAATGGGGAAACATGTTTTATTACTTTATCAAGAGAAAAAATACCCTGCTAAAGTGTAGAGTATTTTTTTTCTCTTGATAAGTTAATAAAAGAAATGCAAGAATATCTTTAAGCTCAAAAGGTCACTGCATTGAAATGGCATGGCAACAGTTCTGACCTTAATCTCCAACAAGTTCATGGAAATAAATTTGCTGCTCTGCTTCTCAGGGCTACAATTTGAATTGTAGGACTTTTCCCTCACAGATTATTCAATGAATTTCAAACCAAAATCCAAGGTTGACTAAGGAAATAAAAAAGAAGTGCCTGGTATTTACCAAGAGAAACAATAGAGAAACCTTATGTTCTCTGATGAATCTACACTGCAGCAGTTTGTTGTATGTCAACGTTATGTCAAAAGGCCTACAGGAAAGAGATATGATGAAAAATATATCAAACTTTGAAATCCCATACAAAATTTGTGGGATTACATGAAGAATAAGGTTGCAGATAAACAGCCAGCCAATGCCAAGGCTCTTGTAGACACTATCAAAGACAATGTCTGGACTATTGGGATTTTCAGTAGAATATTTTCAGAGTCTTGTTACCACCTTTGACCTTGTTGTATAACAGTTACCAAGGTCAAAGGTGGCTATACAAAATATTAATTTATACTAAAATTAATAGATAAATAAACTGCTTTTTATAAATTTGATATAGTGACGTTATTACTGCTTTTTATTTTTATACAGTCAAGATTTTTGTTTGTTTTTATTAAAAAATGTTGAGTGATCTTAAAATATTAGTCATAGCTATAATCAATCTAAATAAAAATTGCCAAAAAAAACAAAACATTTTAATAAAACTATGAAATATTATTTAAATTCATTTTATGTCAAAGATGATGATTCTTGAATAAAGGAGGAAATTACTGCAACATAATAAACAAAAGGTGACTAACATAAACAATATACCTTCCAACAATACATGAAAAAGTTGTTTGCTTTTTTTAAAATATAACCTGCTAATATGCCTGTGTGTCATTTATGCCATCAAATATAGTCTATATTTTTAATTTTGTTTAATGAGTCATCACATTGAACACAAATAAGAGAAATAAGTAATGTCAATTTATAAAAGTTGATACGCAGAAAAGCTGTTTTGATGAATTCCATAAAAAGTCTGCAACAAAGTTAATAATATAAAAAGAAGTAGCAAAAATCTCATTTTAAAAGATAGCATATTACAAATATCAGCCAACTATGGACAATCTATCTATCTATCTATATATTATATATATATATATATATATATGACTTCCCGATCACTACAATCTTGACCTCTTAAAATCTGGGGTTAATTGTTACCTTTCCTGAATAACCCCATGGACTTCACTTCTTACTTTTTCTTACACTCATACAAAACTCCACAATAACTCTCTACCTTGAGTGGCTCTTGGGCTTTGTAATGAGTGAACATTTGCATATAAAACAAATAAACAAGCATCACTGTAAGGCAACATGTAAGGAAGACAATAAAAACAAACAACCAAAAAGATTTCACTATTAATTTCATATTTTTTAAAAATGTTTGTGGAAAGAAAGAGTCTTAGAAAGTTCACTGTCAGATACTTCATGTATATCTTGTGCACAGTACACAGCAATGAATGTTTCAAATGTCTAAACTAGTAGTGAATGTGTTAAAACAGTCAGATCAGAAGTTTTGAAGTTGGATTAAGAGAAAAAATTGGCAAAGCTAATTATTTGTCTGAAAGAGAAATTAAAATTTAAAAAAAAATTTCAACTGCTAAATAGGATCCCCCCACCACTAATTCCTTTTGATACATTCCAACAGAATAAATCTAAAATTTGAAGTTGTTCAACTCAGGTTTAAATATTTAACCCCAAATAAAATGCTAGGAAAACAATATATCTTCCCTATACCACTAAAATTACCAATTCTCTTTAAAATATTCATATGTTTAAGTTGTTTTATCAAACCATTTTAATTCATATTTGTTGATATCAGCAAAGTGAATTGACTTCTGAAATGCAATCAATTTCAATTTTTTAAATGAACAGTTTTAATAAACTTTCTTTGATGTTTTTACTTACTTCCTCTTGATGCAAGAACTTTACCATCATAGGAGAAGCATAGAGATGAAGTGTCACTTCCACTCATGTGGGCGGTTCTGTTCAGCATACAGGTGCTTACCTATATTAACAGAATCATATAGAAAAAGAACATTTGGAAATAGCATAAAAAATTGTGCTTAGATTGCGATATCAATAAAAATTACGCATATGTCTTAATATTAAAAGACATGTTAACATTTTAGTATTAAACATTTATATGCCATGTACTATATACAAGGTGGGTGCTGAAAAGTTTTCAGCCTACCCCATTTTTCAAAATCAGATCAAATGCCAGAATTTCTTTTTTTTATCTTTCCTTGGTAAAGCTGAGAATTTTTATAGCACCTCTCCCATATTGTTACCTGTACTGATTACTGTCTTTCATACTGTTACCTGTACTGATTACTAAATGTCTTTCATATTGTTACCTGTACTGATTACTGTATGTCATCCTAGGTCTCAAATATAATAAACATGTGCAGTTTCTCTTGCAAAGAAAGAAAAAAAAAAATCAAAATTTATAAAAATTGGGTGGAATAAAATCCTAACCTACTTCAGCAAATATTTCTTATAAAAGTCAAATTTCATTCTTTAACAGCCAAGCATTATTAATCAAACAATTTTTGTGTGACTTGAATCCAAACCAAAACTTTCACTTTATAAAGATCTCAATTGCATATAGAACATTTTAATAACTGAGGCTACAACATCTTGAGTCTTATAAAGATTACTACCAACTGATTGTCATTTGTTGCAAAAGTAAACAACTGGCTAAAGGATTTACACTATTTACATTATTCAGACTGCTGTCCTCATCTTTACTGTCACATTTACAATGTGTCAGCCATTTTATGCTTTGGTCTTCAGCTGATATTTGTTACAATTTTGAACCCAACCCTTTATTTCGTCTACGAGGGTAGATTGTTCTAATTCCACATGCCATGCCTTTGGATATCTCTGTTTTAGTTAATTCCCCTTGATAACTCTCCAAGTTGGTGCTCTCTCTGCTGAGGCCAGGGATTGATCTCACAACTCTTTGGGTTAATTCACTTTGGGGTCGGTTTCAAAATTCCAACAAATATCATTTGAAGAAGACTGAAGCATACAACAGCCAAAATGTTGGGAATCTGACAGTAAAGATGAGGATTACTCTCTAAATAGTGTAAATAGTTACAATACCTCATCTCAGAAATAGAGACAGATCCTGAAGAAGGCCAGAGCATAAAATGGCTGAAACATTGTGAATATGGCAATAAAGATGTATCTAGTCCAGTTTATTACATTCATTTTTTGCACAAATACCGTTGGATTTTGTTTGTTTATTGTTTCTACTTGATGTCCCATAACTACCACAGGGTTATTTAAAGCCAGGTAAAGTGTTTTGGGTAGGGAAATGTTTTATGCACATCAGTGATAGGTAAGAGTTGATCTAAGTTTTGTTTTCAGTTTCTGACACAAGTTGGTTATTAGAACTTTTCGTAATTTTCAAAATATATTAAAAGATTTTCTGTGGTTTTGTTGGGAGTTTTTATAGTTCCATATTTTAGCATAAAGTTTCATTTCCTTTGAGAAATTAAGGATATTGTTTGGTTTTTGGTTTTGAAATAGTTCTTTTGTATTGTTTGCATGATAATATTTTGTTCTGGTTTGCTTAATATAATGGCAACTTATGAGTACATGTTTAATTGCATGAGGTACTTGAGATCAGTTGCAGATGTGAGTGTGCACAATATGTATGTCTTATTTGGAGTTTAGATAAAATTATTTCCATGAGTCTTATTTTTCTGAAACCTGGCAACCATTCTCCTATAGTTGGTTGGACATTGAATAGTTTGTTAGGTTTTGAATCTCATATCATTTGTCATTTTCTTTTGATAAAAGAACCTATTTTGTTTCTGAAATTTGTATGGCATATAATGCAGTTGTCATAATCAGGATGTCTTTAGCTAGTTTGTCTTGCTGTTTCATTGGGATCTTTGGCCATGGTTGGTAGCTAGTTTAGGAGAGGAACAACTCTGAATTACAAACCTGAGAGGGTCTTTTGGAGAAGATATGGCATACTCTTGCACCAGTGCTTTCTATTCAATTCTTCAGTAAAGTGTGGTTGCTTCTGCACAAGCCTTCACCACCATAATGTGTGGGTAATTTGGCTTCTATACAACAAACAACTGCCTTTGACATTTGGACTGTCATAATAAAATAGGAAGATAGATTTTTTTAATCTTAATTTGAGTTACTATTCATTGCAACTAAGTTTAAAAAAAAAATTATTGGACTATTTTTTAACTCTGGTACCACATGTGTGCAGAAACTCCATATTAACTTTTGTGCCATATTTGGAATGAGTTGGCATTTTGTTAAACATCATAATAAAATAGGAAAAATTATTTTTGGAGCATATATAGATAGTTCTGGTATATAGGTTTTTGGAACATTATATATATATATATATATATATATGAAGAAATATAGTCTTAAGATGTGCTATATTTATGGGATAAAGTGCTCAATATCAGAGATAGAGCGTGTGTAAATATAAAAGTGAACATAGAAGTCAACACTTAGAGGCAACAGTATGTTTCATGCTAGATGTGGCCTGCCGATTGCATCTAGCATTGCACGATGCAATAGTCAGGCCACATCTAGCATGAAACAGACTGTCGCCTCTAAGTGTTGACTTTTATGTTCACTTTTATATATATTTCATCCTCACTCACACACAGAGACTTGACAATTTCTTTTTTAAATTATCTCTAAACTATATTAATTATAGCATAAACCCGATCAGAGAGCTAATACTCACAAATTTCCTGTTGCAATCCCACAGTTGAATAGATCCATCCTGGCAAGCAGCAGCAATGTAGCGTCCATCTCGTGAATATGTGCAAGCAGTTGCATTGGTTTTACGCCCTTGTTGGTTCTTTGTTTTTATAACAACACGCTGTTGGTATTCATTGCCAATGTCCCAAAGACGGACAGTTCTAGAGGATAAAACAAAGACTGAATCAAGAGAGTAATCAGAAAACCAATTATTTCTTATAAAGTTCATAAAATGTCCTTGAGCCAGACTTGGAAAAATGAAACGGATAAGTTTAAAAATAACTACATTAAGAAAAACTCAAGATAAATTATACAATTAAGCTGACCAATGTATTGCCAACAGTGTCAATTGTATAAACATAGAAAGAGCACCGTATCATGGGACAATAGTAAGTAAGTGAGTCTAGCACACTATTATCAGTGTATTTATTTAAGCTAATAAATACCTATACAATTCCAGGTGAGAAACATGGTCTCGATATGTTTAAGTTCAATCCTTCATTGCTCAACACCTAACAATAACAATGGACATGGTGAAATATCTGAAATTTAATTCAAGTGAGTTTTATAGGCTACCATTTTATTTTATTGATGTTAGTTTTAATTTCAAGTATTTCGGGTAGAAAAGATTGAAGGGAATCGTTTCTCCTCATTTGTAGTTATTAAAATTCTAACATTTTTCTAAATTTTTTATATATATATATATATATATATATATATATATTATTCCTGTTCAAAGTGTCCTGTGAATAAAATTGTGTAGACAAAACTATTCAGAAGCTGTCAATTGTTACGTTAGCACAAAGTCACAAGTCATCGTGGCTATAATGGCCTTGTTCAAATTGTTGATCACAACAGATTATGTGTTTTCTCCCAATAACCCTAATTATGGTCTGTTCAGCATAATTGCAATGTAATCCATGGCTTTGCTCAGCAGATGTTGAAGAAATATAAAATGTACCTGACCAAATTTCTACAACAGAGATGTCACTCGAGTAGACTCCATGGTCACCAGAGATTGTCAGAAGCCGACTTTTACTTAAAATAAAATCACAGAAGAGAATCCTGAACATATTTAAAATGGCTGCTTCTATGAATTTGTAAAGTTGTTTTATTTTCCAGATTTTATTAAGATGAATTCCTTTTTATTTGGTTCTAAAAAAGAAAACATCTGTAAAAGTATAAAATATATTTGCAACACAAATGCATAATGTTAAAACTTTCATTTTTCAGCAATGGTTAACCTTTAACCTTCTTGCCCACAAAAAAAAAAAAGGTGTATCAAAAGGACACTCCTGATACTGTATACACTTTTGACATTCTCTGTAATGTTTATTTACAAGAATATAAAAATATATTAACCAAACACAATGCGATATTTATTATTTACCATTTAAAAATTATCAAAATATGTAAACCATTGACAATGCAAAAATACACACACAAAATATTGAGTGTTTGTGGTCTTACCTAAAATCTAAAATTAAAAGAATGTTTGCTTCAAAGGAAGAGATGCTCTCAAACTATTTTAGTGAATTTATGTGGCAAGAAAAAAATGAAAAAAATACTTGGAAAATGCATTTTTTTCAAAATTTATAATTAGTTACTCATTCTTATGTGTTTATTTAAAGTTTTTGTTCACAGATATTTTTGTAAATTTATGAATGAAAAAATTAATTTTCATATTTATTTCTTTATCAAATGGTGAATAATAAATATTTCATTATAGTTGGTTCACATATTTTTATAATCTTGTAAATATAAAATTATTCTTGTAAATAAGCAATTTTATATATAAATAGCCTTTAATATCTGTTTTCAATTCTCAAGAATAGAGAAAATGTATAAATCCACTTTCATGTGTTTGGGTTTTATTAAAATTCTAATCATTACTTTTTTGAAACAATAAACATTATGAAGAGAGTGAAGGGTGTTTACAGTAATAGCGGTGTCAAGGGAATAACCATACTTTTGACATCATTTTGTAGTAGGCATGAAGATTAAACATTACTCAATTTTTCTATTTAAGTCAAGAAACTATCGAATCACTGCATAAAACTTGTTCAATTGAAGATTTCATTAAAATTTATTTTAAGATTGTAAAATTTAGAAGTTTTGTAAAAATGAACTGGAATAGAAATGTTGAAAAAACAAACATCTTTTTTATCTTTACACATGTCTTAAAAAAAATGTGCTTAGGACAGTTACAGGTATTAAAAGAAATTTTCTTTAAGCAGTTGCTAAAAATAGACAAAATCAATAGACAAATTGGAAAACAATTTTTCCTATTTGTCTATCGTTTACTTGTTTAAACTGTTTTATTCAGGAGGCTCTTTAAAGCATAAATCAAGCAAAATAATTATGCATGGAAACTGGATTGAGAAAAATCTATAGCCATGAACGTAATAAAAGGCTTGGTTCAAAATTCTAAAAGTTACTGAGTAATGAGCAACACATGAAGAAGTCCAGAGAGGTCAAGGGTCAAAACATTGTGAGTGTAACAACCAAGAGGAGAATACTAGTCTGAATGTAAAGTCACATAATTTCTCATAAGGTGTTTAAACTTCCAATGATGTTATAACTTTACAATCAGTGACATCATCTGGCCAAATATTAAAGATTAATTTAGATAAAGTCCCACAGATACAACAACCATTTTAAACACAACTCACCAATGCTGTTAATTATATAGACATAGAGAGAGTACCTTGTGGGACAATAGTAAGCAAGCAAGTCTAGCAGACTAGTGTGTCTATTGAACCTTAGTAAATACCTATACATATATGGAGCAATTGAATGCAAAAGATGAAATATAATGTTGGAAGAAATGCAGTGTTTAATTGGGTTTCCAGTTCCTTCTGAAGTCTTCAGATTTCCTTTCACTCAAGGTAGCCTCTTTTGTCTTAGTAGCATTATCGCCTTGCTTGAGGTGAATTGATTAAATAAATAAAATTCAGTGCATTAATGTGTGCTGCATGAGAATGAAACAAGCAAAAAAAAACAAAAAAAAAACGAAATTCACTCACCCATCATTTGCACAAGTCATAAACTCATGACGTTCTTTTGGATTCCAGCAACCAGAGTTCAACATAGCAACATGTCCCTAAACAGAATTTGGAAAAAATAAAAAATATAGAGGAAAAAAAAATGAACCTTCAAATTAGCTTTATAAAATCAATTCCTATATTAACTACAAAAGTAGTAACACTTTATCATCATTCTCATCATCACTTCTAACCATTTTACCAAAAGAAATCATAAATTAAATTGCAATAAAAAATGTTTTCATATTTCATTCATGATAATTTTACTGCATAATTCTTTTTCAAAATGTAAGCACAGATTTTGTGCTCTCTCCTGGAAACTGTAACTAAAGTCCGCTCAGCATAGTTGCAGTATAAACCACAGGTGGGCTCTGTGCGTGCTGAACAAACACAAATGTCGCCAGATCAGGTGTCTGCAACAGGGATTTACTAACTGCCCTAGTAGACAGGCATCCTCAGATACGAACAAGTAGCCATTATTATTGTATAACTATACACATAACTCAATAGGATTAAATTTGACCTTCATCACTTTTAATGTGTTCTGTTGTCTTCATTAAATAAAAAGAGGCAGGGAGAGGATGAGATTCTATTGCTTATCTGTGGGTGAGGGTGCCAGTGAATAAACTGACCAAAAAAAATAACAAAAAAAATAAGAGTAGAAGATGAATAAACACAATTCTAAAAAATAAAAATTAACCTATTAATTGCAGATGACTGGTATTTCTGTCATTAGTGTTTTATGGCTCAACTGCGTATGACAGAAGTTTCTGTTGTGATTAATGAGTTAAAATGATTCTGTAAATCATTTTGATGAGGTAGCCTTGCCAGTAAAATAAACAGATAACACTTACCTTAGTATTTGCCATGTCAGCAATATACTGATCTCCTTTGACACATTCCAGCTTCTCAAACCCGTCCCTGTCAAGAACTTTGGCCTGTGCATTGGCAGCAATCACCAGAATAACGTCTCCAGTGGTACTGTACTGAAGATTACGGATCTGATGGCTGCAAATTAATAAAAAATATAAATTGTTGTGAGTATTTGAAATGATTAAAAAAACTTTTTAGAAAAGTTTAAACCTGTCATCATCTAATCTATTGAAAAGTGCGGTGTCATGTTTTTTGAATTCTGTAGAATAATACATAGACAATGGGAAGTGGGAGAGAGGGAAAAGAGGGCAGGAAGAATGAGAAGTCAAGGAGAGGGAAACTGGATCAGGAAGAATGAGAAGTCGGGGAGAGGGAAACTGGATCAGGAAGAATGAGAAGTCGGGGAGAGGGAAACTGGATCAGGAAGAATGAGAAGTCGGGGAGAGGGAAACTGGATCAGGAAGAATGAGAAGTCGGGGAGAGGGAAACTGGATCAGGAAGAATGAGAAGTCGGGGAGAGGGAAACTGGATCAGGAAGAGTGGGAAGTCGGGTAGAGGGAAACTGGGGCACGAAGAATGAGAAGTTAGGGAGAGGGAAACTGGGCCAGGAAGAGTGGGAAGTCGGGGAGAGGGAAACTGGGGCAGGTAGAATGGGAAGTTGGGGAAAGGGAAAAGGCAGACAGAAATATAGATTTATATATTAACACTGAAAATTAATATGTATTAAAAAAAAAATATTTTTGGAGCTCAAAATTCTAGAGGCAATAAATTAATTATTCTAAGAATAAATCCATCAGGAAAAGCAAGGGTAATTTTCTTGCAGCAAAAAGTGACATTTCTCTTTCCCTAAAGATTGTACACATGAAGGTGCCATATCCCACTTGAGTCAAACATTGTATCCAAAGCAAAAGCAGCATGAATTAGCTCAATAGTTGAAAACAACACTGACAATGATGATAATTTTTTTATAGACAGTAAATTCATCATTCAATTGAAACTACAGTTATTCTACAGTTTTACATTTCCTTTGAACTAGTGGATCATTAATTTTTAGAAAATTAATCGTCAAAAGAAAATCGAATTTCTAATCCGGAAATTTTCTCTTGAAATGCCAATCTTTTACAGATAAAATTCTTAATCTCTACATGGTAAAGGTAACTTTGGTCTGCAAAACTATTTTAAAAATATCTCAAATATTCTTTTTAGCCCTCTTGTAAACACAACACTTACCTTTCACATGGCCTTAATGTTCTGAAAGGTTTCAAAGATGAATCCATGCCTGAAAAATCCCAAAACCTGATATCACAATCATATCCTCCTGTGACAAGACGTGCACCAGAAGGATCAAGGGTCAATGCAGAAACCTAAGGGAGGAGAGAGTTGGAAAATAATATTAAATATAAGCCAGCAAAGTGGAAAAAATAAAATTTAATTTCTTTGAATGTGTGGATTTAAAATTTAATTATAATTACCAAACTTGATTACTTTTAGTCAGTTTATCAGTAATACAGCTTTTCGTATTAAATGTTACATTGAGTTGATGAATTTTATAACATATCAAAGCATGTTGGATTTCTCATTTCAAAATCTTTTTTATTATACCTGTGCCTCTAGGTAAACATTGGCTGGATCATATTGGGGTCTGCAAATATATATTTCACACCTAGTTTTTGATGTCAGTATATTCTAAGTCCCACTGACATGGCAGTCCTCATTAATAACAGCTTGTAATTATTTGAAAAGAAAGTTTATATATGTCTCAATCACTCAAGATTTGTCATGTAAGTTAAAATTAGTCTGAAATTCTTTTTCAACAATTATTGGATAGGTATCTAACATTGGCTTTTTATTGGAATTTTGACACTCAATATTTTCCTCAAGATTATACACACACATATATATATATATATATATATATATATATATATATATATATGAGTATAGAAAATCCTTAAAAATCCATTTGGTTATAATTTATTTCATGAATAAATTATAACCAAATGGATTTTTAAGGATCATCTGTATTCATTATTATTATATTGCTCTGTTCTTACATTGAGCTCGCTTTAACGTCCTCTTTGGGATTATCCCTACTAATTATCAATTGATATTATATATATATATATATTGGTTGGTTAATTTTGTTTAGTGGCATATCAAGCTCTATGGGATATTTAATGCTGAATATTTTAAATGCAATTTTATGCCTTCAACTACAGATATTTTTAATATTATCATACTTATTATAAAACCCAGGTTGTGTGTGTGTCTGTATATTGGATCAGATTTACTACATTTTTCAACCGATTTCAACAAAATTTCACAGGACTACGTAAAATTACCTTGTGGTGGTTCTGACAGCACCAAAAATTGGAAAAACACAATTGTTTTTGCATGAAATCAATTTGAAAACATGATCAAGAAGCATCGTGAGAATGAAAGGGGGACAACTCATATCGAGTTATAATTATTATAAAACCCAGGTTGTTTGTGTGTGTGTGTGTTCCTTTATATATGGGATCGGATTTCCTACATTTTTCAACCAATTTCAACAAAACTTTACCTTTTTTTGGCAGGTAGTGTTTCTTATTGTCTTGCACACTTTTTTCTTTATTTTTACATTCAGAATGCTTTAAAAATTCCATTTACAAGACAATTGTTTATAATAAAATTCTATTCAATCGATAGAGACTCATAATGATTGAAAACAATGTTTTTGTTTGGGTTTGACCAATTCGTAAAAAAAAAAAAAAAAAACTAATTAAGACATGCGTGTCCGTCAACCTTAAACAATAATCTTTGTCAATTTTATTTTTCAGTCTTTATGATGGTCAATGCTCGATTTATCTCTTACTGTTACATCCCCGGGCAACGCCGGGCTCTACTGCTAGTTCTATATTATCAGAGGAGACTTATACTTTTTTTTAGATATATGTGTAGATGATAAAATGTATTGCTGGTAATTTTTTTAACAAAAATGTACTGTGTAATTTTATTACAAAGATGCATTTTTATACTTTTTTAGTGTTTTATTGTTGATCATTTTACTATAAAAATGTATTGTTGATTTTTGCTTGTGGTGGTTCAGTATTTGCTCATTGCTGGGATCCTAACAAATGCTACCATCCTGGATCAGGGTGGACCTGGTAACAACAGCAATTAAGAAGTGGTTCCATATTCTTCAAAACCTCCAATCTGCTGATCAGAGGCCTTGCTTCTATTTATTATACATTATACTGTCATGTCAACTCAGCAGGTTAACTGTAACTCAGCAGCCATTGACATGACTAATTTAGAACTGGGAATTCAGCATTTGATAACTTGGAAGATAACAACAAAAAAAAATAACTTACACTTTTGTCTCCATGGGCTAAAGTAATTTCTAAAGATTGTGGAATGCTCTGCTCCAATGTCTGGAAATGAAAAAATGTGATCAAGTCAAAAAAAAAAAAATCTAAAAGTCAAAAGTGAAACACGAGGAAAGAAGCTTAAGAAAATTTAACTCATAAGGCACATTGAAAGCAAGTGATGCAAAGAGAAAATAATGAGTAACCTATTTAACATGTCCAAGTAAAGAGATGACAGAACAATGACTGCAAAGAGAAGGTTGGGGGGGGGGGCTAAATGGTAAAAATGACAGAGCAACAAAAACACAGGAAGTCATAAAACGATCTCTTTATATACATGTTCAGTAGTAAAAATTTCATTTTAATGTAAGTTTTTATTTTTTAATTTAAAATTTGTTATTTCAGATTTTGGTATTTAACTTAAATTTTGTAAAAAAAAAAAAAAAAACGATAGTCATTCTGCCAACTGCAGGTTTTTTTTATCTACTTCAAGACTTTGTTACATTATTGGTAAAACAACTCATTTCTCAGATCGATGTTCTTCTAAAAGACTATCAATATTCAAACGTATACCTTGGATAAAAAAGGTTTTTTGGAATTCTGATTGCCAAACTCTGCACAGATTACTTGGTGTCTCTTTTAATGTTGACTGCTAAATCTACTATTTTCAGTTGTTTTGTTACATTCAGGCCAACCATTTTCAACACAGTTCTGTATTGAAAATAATGAAGAAAAGTGATTGATTGGTTTTCTACAGCTTATCAAACCTTTGCTGATTATTTAATGCCAGAAAATATTTTTAGATTATAAAAGTTTTTTCTGAGATAATAATGGTTTAGTGATACAAATCTTACTAATTAACCCATAAAAGGGAGGAGAAGAGGTGGTTTCATACTTTTTCCCAAAATGTATTTGCACATAAGTAAATATAATGAACCTAACTGGAATTGGAATCAGCTTTCCAATTAAGAATTCCAAGCCATTATCACCAGCAGAAAATCCAAGCTTAAAACACCAGGTATTCCCAAGTGGTCATTCATCCAGATACTGACCAAGCTTGACATTGCTTAACTTTGGTGATCATATAAGTAGTCGTGTTTCAATGTGATATGGCCATGAAAACCAGATTTTCAGTCGTCAGGAATTGATGAACATGTTACTGGCAGACACAATAGGACTTCTATAATAGTAAAATTTTGCTTTTGACTGGATTTTCTCAAAAATACTTCAAGATTAGTTCAAATGGCAACACTAAAAATCGATACCATTTCTCAAGAGCATTCATCAATAATCTGTTGACAATCAGAAATATGAACTGAATGATTTCTGAGATGAATATTTAATTTATAACTTATATTCTTAGGCACCAAATTAATTTCAGGAAATTGTACAAAGTTCCATTATAAAATTTTAATTCTTGTATACTGAATAATTTAAGCAATCACAATTCAAATTGACTAATCTAAAAATTAAGTGGGACATTTATTTTGCATACTCACAAAATGCAAAATACAGGGTGTGGCAGAAATACCTCCCACATAATGGTAAGGCTTTAGTGGCAATGTCTTCATCTAGTTAATGTCTTGCCTTTATGAGAAAGGTAGTTCTGCTGCAAACTGTTCAAGGTTTTGTTTTATGGAGGTTTTAGTGAAAAGATAGATAAAATAAAATCCCTATTTTGTGGTGCAAATATTAAAGCAAACTCTCAACCAGAGACTACATAATGCAATGAGGAGGTGATGTCTTGTAAAATAGATCTCAGGTGGCCAGACCAATATTAACTTTTGAACCAAAAAGATTACAAAATTTAAAGATTCCTGTCATCATAGATTTGATGACAGTGTTAATTAGTGAAAATATGAAAACGAACAAAACATTTTATTGAAAGAAAGGCCATTCATGTCAATACAAATCATACAACAGTTCTTAATAACAAACTATATCCATGCATTTTGAGGAAAAAAAAAAGATGATGAAAATGTTCAAAATTGTTATAGTGGAACACACCTATTCTATAGTTAATAGACTTTCCCACCTATAATAAGTAGGAGTAGTAAGAGTAACAAGTCAGTCGGCAGTGAGTTGGTCAGTCAATCGATGTCGGACGACCGTTAGTCGGATATTAAAGTATCAGCTACTACAACTAGATTACTGTGTCATTACCTATTATATCAAGTTCCTAATGTTTTGTACGTCAAATCTATTTTAGGACCGACTTAGTACAAATACAAACCTCCACTGTGAAACCACTACAAAAACTTGGAGAAAAGTTAATTTTTATCATCAGTCTTTGTGCCATCAGTGAAAAGAAAGTTTTGATATAAAAATTGTGTCCAATGTACAGAATGGGAGATATTTGTGTTTCGCAGAGTAGAAATCAAAAATCCATAATAATACCTCTATCCCATAATACTGTTAAATATGCATACAATTTTCAGACATTTAAATGCAAAAATTATTATGGGATGGAAGTAGTAACTGTTTTATTAAAAGAGAAATGTAAAATTTAACAAAATTCAATAAACCAGAGATTTTTTAATAGAACATTATATTTTTATTTTATGTACAGAAATTATGTCACAAGCATATATGGAAGTTTATTAAAACTAGAATTAACACCTTTTGCTACCCTTAGATGATATGAGCCTGTATGTACAAAGAAAAGAAGTTTTTGTGCTTTTTGGTCAGCATGCTTATCACTCGTGTTACAAACTGCTTGCTGCAACACAAAATTTAAAAAAGTAAGGAAAAATGACTTGTTGTCAAAGATATGGCCATGGTTTTCCACTCCACAGTGAGTGAGTTCTCTTACAGGTTCAAATACATGGATGAGGAGAAACAACTGACAGTAATGAACAACAAACACAGGAATACTATTTAATGAGATTTAATTACAAGAAGATAACACATGAAAATATTCATGCATGGGAAGATGTATAGTATACATTTCTATGTGGAAAGATGCATACGTTAGATATGTAGGGGAACAAATTTTCCACAATTATGGAATTGCAGACAGAATCATTAATCTTAAACAGAATCTGGGTTTTTAATGTAATTTTCAATAATAAATAAATTTTTAGATTTTTTTTAATTCTTTCAAAACTTAATAAATGTCTCTCCAATTTCGTTAAACATTTTAATAAATATAACAATAACATAGTTATTTCCTTAAAATTTGTTTTTTTTTTTACAAATATTTCTAGTTTCCTTCTAAAACCCCAAAAATAATTAAGAACAAAAATGTTTACATAAAAAAAGAAAAGTGGGTCAATGATTTTCTGAGAATATGATGGCTAGTCTATTTTTACATATTTTAAAACTTTTCTAAGAAATCGTATGTTGCAAATGAGATGAAAGTCAGAAGGTTACGGCTTGGACATTGGAGAGGAGAGAGAGAGAAATTCATTTCCTTTAAGGCCTTACATAATTTACAAGTAAAAGATTCTAAACAACTTGTAACCTTGTTTTATGAATATGAAAGAAAAGTAAATGCTATCACGTGCTTACCATACAATTTAGAAATAAAGAAAAGAAATTTCTCCAAAAACATCATTCTCCCGGATTAATAATTGCATCATCTACAGTGCTTCACCATTGTAAACAAATTTAAATAGAAAAAAAAAAAAAAAAAAACCTTCATTAACATTAACTATCAATGATTATTTTTTCATATTTTATTTATATTTTTGTAATCTAAGCCAGTTGTATCAATAAACAACAAATTACCAAGATGACTGAATCAAGTCAATATGGTGAATCAACTTCTAAAATTGGATCTGCTCCTAAAAAAAAAAAAAAAAAAAGACTCCAGTATCTAAAATTTGTGCTAAAGCCAGAGTAGAGCAATTTCCTGATAACTTTTATGCAGAAGAAAATATGTTATTTTGAAAATTCTGTCTCCATAGTGTTGACATTTTTAGGCTTGACACAATCAAAGATCACATTCAAATAAAAAACTCATTTACAAAAAAGTCTTCAAAAAAGTTGGTTCAATTGAAACAGAAGACAATCACAGCTTTGTTGAAAAGTAAAGAGGTATGAGATGATTTTGTCCTTGATTTTTTGAAAATGTGAACTTTGACTGATATTCCCCTACACAAAATTGACAAAATGAGGTCATTCATATGAAAAGATTGTAAAGAAGGTGGTGCTATTCCAAGTGTCAATTGTGTTAGGCAACTTCATCTACTAAAATTGTTTGCTTCTCACTTTGCTGTCCTGAAAGCCAAGCTTGCTAATCAGTCAGTATTATAACACATGAAACAACTGTCATGACCACAGCATTTTGAATGTAAATGCAAGCATTCATGGAGAATCATTTCTCATTGATATTGTAACCTTGTGAGAATGCAATCATCAAACTATAAGTCAGGTATATATCCAAGCTGTAACTCATGTGGATATTGCATTTGAGGATATTATTGCCTTTGTAAGAGATTCTACAGCCTATTGCAAAAAAGCTCATAAGGAAGTGTTGTCAAATGTTTTTGTTAACAGTTGCCATGTGTTGTGCTTAGCACATATTTTAAATCTTGTTGGTGAAAGCATAACGCCTTTATTCACTGTGCTGTGTGTCCTCAAGGACACATAGCACAGTGGATAAAGGTGTTGGTTAGATCCAGTGACAGGACCCAAAGAGTGAGTTCAATACCCAGTTAAGGCAGTGGAGAACTTGCAGAGCGGAATTAACAGGAAATAACTGATAACTGACATCTGTTAAACATGGAACGTAGAACTAGAACAGTCTAGCCCAGTGAGCAAAATAAAGGGTTCAGTTTGACATTCTAACCACCTGAAGAAGGCTGAAGTATACAACGACCGAAACTTTGTAATAAATATGGCGACAAAGATGAGAACAATAGTCCGAATAATGTAAATAGCTACCATGATTTAAACAGTTTTGCAGCCATTAAGGACTTGCAATGTCCTTCTACTGATCTTGAAGAATTCCAAATGTATGTGAATTACCAAGATGATTTACCAAATCCTTTTAATATCCAATCATTTTGGAATGCAAATAAGTGCAGATTTCCTCTTCTGGAACATGTTGCCAATAAGGTCATATGGATGCCTGTTACCAGCATAGATGTTGAATGTTCATTTTCTCATTATAAACATTTACTCAATAAACAACGTGAAAATCTTACCCCCCGAGAACACCAAGCAACTCACAGTGTATTACAATGGAGATTTAGAGGAGAGATTTGAAGATTAGATATTTCCCAAATTAAGTTATTCAGTAATTTTAAATTTGAGCAGTATTTTAACTTGGGATAAGTTGTTTTATTTAAATTTTGAATTAATTGTCTAATTTGTTTTTTGATATTTTGTTACAAAGATTCAGATATTATGGTTTAATTACTGTTTTGTAAAATTTTAGTCAAATGTTTGACTTTATTCAGATATTTACAAGGTAACCAAAAATGTTCTGTCCGTTTTTAAAGGAAAAAAAGAAAATGCTTCACAGTATGTGTAACGTATATTTAGTCTTCAAAGTAATCGCCATCGTCATCCAGCATCTTCTGCCAATGTGTCTCCAGCTGTTCAATGCACTTGCGGTAGAACTCGGGGGGGGGGGGTTGCTTGGGGGTTGATGCAAAGAAGTCCGTGAGGGCTTTTCACAAGTCTGCTTCATTGGTGAAGGATTTCCCATGAAGATGATTATCCAGGGAGTGGAAGAGGTGGTAATTGGATGGCGCAAGGTCACGTAAATAAGGTGGATGGCACAAAGTCTCCCACCCAAGTTGCGGTATGGTATCCCTGACCACTCGCGTGACATGCAGCCTGGCGTTGTCATGAAGGAAAAGCACATCTTTGCGATTCACCAGTGCTGGCTACTTCTGGCGCAATGCCTGTTGCACATGTTTCAATTGCTGTGAGTATAGGTCTCCAGTGACCGTTTGGCCCGTTGGTAGCAGTTCATAATGAACCACTTGATGACCTGTCCAACAGACACAAAGCATAATCTTGCGGTGTGAGGGACAGCATCCTGAGGAGACAACCAATATCTGGAACGCTTGGGAGTTTCATACAGAACCCACTTTTCATCACTGGTAAGCACTCGATTGAATAAGGATGCGGTACGGTGGCGAGAAAGCAGCGATATGCAGGCTGCCACTCGTCCCTTGTGGACCTCCAACAGTGTTTGCGGAAGCCACTTGCTCAGTTTGTACGTCTTACCTAGGCGGTGCAGGTAAAGTCTAACTGTTTGATTAAGAATGTTGAACTGTCTTGCAAGTTCACCACACGTTAGACTACTGTTCTCTACAATGGCCGCCTTCAGGATTCCGTCATTCAAGACGTGCGGTCGTCCACTGCAAAGCTCATCATGGAGAGACAAATCTCCTGACTTGAATTTCCGAAACCAATGCCTTGCAGTACGTTCATCCACAGCACTATCCCCAAACGCTTGACATATACAGCGACTTGAAGCAGCTGCTGATAAGCCCACTTTGAAGTCGTAAAGGAAACAGTCCCGAACGAGATCTCTAGACACTTCCATCCTTCTCACAGCTGTCCGGCTTATAACTGATGGCCGGGCATGGTGCGCATATTTTTTTATAACGTCTGATGTTCCTACTTCCAGCTGTCCGAATTTGAAAACAATTGCTACACACATTTCGTATATATTTCAACTTCATTCAATGACTAATCAAAAAACGGACAGAACTTTTTTGGTTACCTTGTATTATTGAGATTCAAGTTATTTGCTGTTGATACTTTAAATGTGATTTTTATATTAGGAATCAATAATTATAAATCAATCTAAATCCTTTTACTTAAAAAAAAACCAAAACAATTTGAATGTGGTTTGAAGCTCTGATTAAAAGTTCTACCTGAAAGATAATTATATACTGTATACTGTAACATTCCATTGTTTTATTGTCTAGTCATGTTACATTTTTTTATTTTTACACATAATTTATTTTTGGACTTAGATTTTAACATTTAAAAAAGATTTGTAGGCATTTGCTATTTCTTTATATGCAATAAAACTTTGAATTATGTTTTTGTTTTCAGTTTTAGTAAGAATTATAGCATATTGTATTGCAATTTTCTCATAAAATACTATAAAAATTGAAAAAAAAACCCAGAATTTACCAAAAGTGGAAATAGAATCAAGGAAAATTTGAAACTGAAAATCAGGGACCCTATATATGTGATATGAAAAGTCAAAGAAAACACTTAACTTTTGCCTCTCGCCAGAAATAAAATAAGGTTTTCTCTTTTCCCTTGTCTCACTCTTTCTTTTGTTTTATATTTCTTTTCTGTTCTTTTTATGTTCAATTCTTTTTGCTTGTGCATCTATACCTTTTGATCTGTTATTCTTTTTTCCCTGTTATAAGTTTTGACTGCAAATGATGGCTGTTTCTTTTCTTCACATATTTAGCAAAGTGGAATTCATCATTTGGTTAAGAAGATTTGGTGCTGAATAAGTCATAGCTTTCCTCCAATTGAATAATTGGTTGGGTTACACTTGTCTGTCTTAGGTGACTATCACGCTTAGTAATTAACCTGTACATTTTGTATATACAGCATAATGAGTTTGCCAGTTGGATCTGGACTCATTGTGCAATTTCCTTTGCTTGACAGTAACAAGTGAAAAGATGTATGACTCACTTAAGATCTGTGGTCCAACATCCTTCAAGTATTTTGCCACTCAACTTTTCGTACTTGGTCATGTGATTCTGCACGTGTGTAAAAAGCTATTTTTAGCTCTCGCCTGAACTTGTTTCTAAGGTCATCAGCCTGTCTGACCCAATTGTTCTGTAGTCAGCAACTATTATGACAGATTGAAAGAGAGAGGGGAGAATGAATGTAATATATTATAGGGAGGGGGAAAGAGATGTTTCATTAAATGTCAAGTTTATGTGTGGTTAGGGGCTTTGGCTGAGTAAAAGTGTAATAGTACTATCAAAATTTTGAATAACAAGCAAAAACGTCTGAAACCTGATTTAAGTAGGTAATATTTCCTTGTAAATTATAACTAAATGTTAAGATTAAAAAAAGATAATTAAATTATTGCAGTATGTTTGATTGAACCAGCAAGGGTACTTAAATAAACTGTAATAGTCAAACTAATCTACAATCAAGGTTGTTTAACTTTCAATCTGAGCTAAAGGATTCAAAACAGCTTAAATATAGGATAGCTGAAATATTAAAATAACCATCCACTTGACATCAAAGGTGTAAGTCAAATATAAAATCAAGAATCCACTCACTTCTTCACTCTCATCGTCATCTTCATCATCATCTTCGTTATCAACATTTTTAATCTTGTTTTCCAAAGAAGATGGAATTGGTGGCCCAATGAGATCAGCATCTTCATCAACTTCCTCTTTATTGACACCACTTTTTATAGAAGATGGAACTGGTGGACCAATTTGTTCAGAATCTTCTTCATTGCTCGCAGCTTCCTTATGAGAGGTAACATCCTTTTCAGATGTTTTGCAAGATAAAGGTTTAAACTTTGGGGGTAATGGTTTTCCCGCCTGTGCCTCTGTAGCTTTTAAAAGATTTCTTTGGTCTTCTTTTTTGGATAAATGTGAGCTTGGCTTGTCTGGCATCAAACATTCTGAGGATTTGATGTTCTGATCTGGCAGCAAAGAAAAAGTGAATGGTATCAAAGTTTTATACAATTAATGATAGTCCAACAGAGGAATAAAAAAAATAAAAAAAAAATAAGGAAAAGCCTATTACTTTTGTATTCATTTTTTTTATAACAAAGGTGACTCACTTTCATTTTAAATGGAGGATTTTTAATTTTATGATTGTTACACAGTATCCCCCCCACCCCAAAGAAGAAACAATATCAACCAGTTAAAGTAGAAACAAATATTGTATTTTTCACAATAGTAAAAAAACAAAATATGTCCCTTTCTCTTCTGATTGATATTATTGTGTTACTGTTAATTTGAATGTCTTTTTTTTTTTTTTTTTTTTACAATAAGGTCCACAAGGCTCAAGATCCACTCAAGGTAGTGAGCTACAGAATAAGAAGTAAGGGAGCATAGTTTATGAGGATATGTGGGAAAGATAAAAGTTAACCCTAGACTTAAACAGGTTAAGATTGTAGTAATCAAGAAACCATCCTCTTGGGAGTCAGTTCCATAAAGTCTATTTATGAAGCATTTCAACTACTAAGTTCAAAATATTTTATAACAAGGATAGATTAACAGATAAAACAATTTTTTAAAGTTTTTTTTTCTGTGCATTCTTTTTGTGTGGAATTGTTCCCAATAGCCATTACACATGAAGTCACACTAGATCATTTTAAACGTCCACCTTCCCAAAGAATACCAGGATGCAGACAAAGGAATTCTAGCTATCACAGACACCATGTCGGTTCTTCATAATGGCTGTGAATGTCGGAAGAACTTGAACAAAAAAAACAAATATGATCTTTGGACAGTTTATTCACAACTTTGAGCACAATACTCAACACCTTATTTGAAAATTGGATTTTATTGGTTCTTTTTAATCAAACTTGCCTGGATGAATACTTGTGTCCCAAATATACCTTATACATGTCTCAATGAATAATAGAAATATATTATGTTAATTTATTTTTATAATGATCCTTTCCAGTTCCCTAATCAGTTTCTTGATGTTAAGATGAAATTCATCAAGGAAGGCACCATAGTTTTTTCCTACCTAAGTACTTTCAATCTCCTCGAAGGGTAAATTACAAAGACAAACTTATTGTAATTGTGATAAAATCTGCATTTTTATTATTTGCTTTTATCATTATTTTATCTATTTATTTATTCTATTATTATTTTATCTATTTATTTATTTTTTTATCATTTTATTTATTATATTATCATTTTATTTATTTATTTATTTTATTATCATTTTATTTATTTTATTATTATTTTATTTATTTATTTATTTTTATTATCATTTTATTTATTTATTTTTATTATTATCTTATTTATTTATTTTATTATTTTTTTATTATTTTGCTGTTATGCAGATAAATTCTGCATCACTATATAATTATAGGGATAGATAAATCAAACGATCAGATATAAGTAAGTATGTCCACTGTTTTTGCGGAAAAACAGCATAGCGTAAATGAAAAAGAAAGAAAATAAAGTATTATCATCAAAATGCTTATGTTATTATTAAGATGAAAGAAAAAAGTATTTTTTAATTATTTTTTGAAATTTTTTAATATTTTCTAACACGTTCGAAATTTTGGTTAAAGTCGTCTTTGTTTACGTCATCGCGGTGACGTTTAAAATAACATTGTTTTTTTTTGTGTTTTTTTCCCATTGAAAACATATTGATTTGGAAATTCTTGTAAAAATAAAATAATTGTCTGATCTTAATGAAATTTTCAGGACTTATTCACAAATGAATGAAATTATTTTTGAAATATTTTGTTTTTAGAAAGTTTTGGTAAAAAATATTTTTTTTTAAATATGTTACCCCCCACTTAGTTAATTTCATGAAATTTCTCCCAAAACCTTTTTGGCTCCTCAATTTTATTTTTTTGTTAAAAGAAGGAGTCTATGGAGATGGTAAATAACCTACTTTTTTTTTACAAATTTGAGCTACTTAACTGAAAATCTTGTCTGAATTGAAAAATAATGAATCCAATAAAACTATGATATTACTTAATTAGAAAAACTTTTAATTGCTTTTGTAAATAAGTAATATTAAGGACATTATTGTCTGAAGAAATAATTTTTTCTGATGAATAATTAATTTTTACAAGAATTTTTTTCGTTTTTAAGAAATTTTAATTATAATAATTTATAATAGTTTAACATCGTGTAAAGCTCTGTATTAGGAGGGCTCCTCAATATTATGTAGTAATTAAGTAGAAAAAAAAATTTACGAGTCCAAAATTGCTAAGTTTAATAAATTTAGTTCACGCTTTTTTTAAAAAATAATTTTTATGTTGTATTTTTTTTACTTAATACATTCCTTATTTCCATGTATGATATACAGGAATTGCCATTATTATAACAAGGTCACGTGATCTAAGAGTTTTGTCCTTTACGTGGCCTTTTCAAAACATTTCGTTTCTTAAAGGTTGTATTTTCCGTTCAGCTTTAAAAGTGTAAACTTTAAATTTTAAATTATTTTTTTTTTTTTTTCATTTACTATTTCACTAAATAATTTTATTTTATGTATTGTATTTCCATTAGTGTGTGTCATACTCAAATAGAATAATTTTTTAAAAACTAAGACTTAAAAATTATGTCATTTATGGTCATCAGTAGTAGCTGTGATCGGTTCGTCATAGAACAATCCATCAATTGATCGATCAGATGAACAGGACCGCTCGTTAATAATTGGTTGTATATTATTTTTTATGCTATAAGTAACAACGATTTCTTTGAAATCAGATTACTTTAACTTTAAATTTTTTAATTTTACTAAAATAATGTGTCAGAATTTTTTTTTAAATATTTTAAAAAAATCGATAAATTTGTGTTTGTTTACAAATTTCTTAAAATTAAGAAAATGGCCGTTTTTAAGAAAATTTAAAAATTTGAAATTAAATTTGACAATCAAATGTATATAGTTTCTATCTGAAATACACCAGAAGTGATTAATTAATAGAAATCGTAAATTTAATTATTAAACTTTCAATTAAAGCTAAAATGAAATCTTCAAGAATGTTTTTGTTGTTGTAAAAAAATCATTTTAAACTTCAATATAGAAATTTTATGCCGAAATAGTGGAGGTACTTAGATATAAGCAAGCATACAAGCGTGTGCTGGTGTGCATACGCAAGCAAGCAGATAAATAATCATCTAATTTATATATGAGGTGTAAACATAATAGTGTTTGATGTAGTTAGACAGAGCAAAGATATATATTAATTAGTACATATACATGTACCTATGTTATGGTGTGTGATTTAAGTTTCGCTGGATTACCAGCTTATCGGGCACAAAATCTATGTTGATAAAAGTAAACAAATGGCTTATAGGAGGAACGTTGCTAGCCCCAAAATAAAATTGGACAAAAAAAGTAGTAAATGTGATGCAGGCAAGTTTTTTTTTTTTTTAAATTGAAAAATGTAGAAAGATTGTAAAAAATAAGGTTTACAAATTTAAAATGAAAGACGCTATTTTTGCATAGTCAAGATAACGTTAAGGGTTAAAGGGAGGTAAGCTGGTAAGATACTTAAGTCTTAGTAAGGTAAAAAAATAAATAAAAAAACAAGGAAAGAAATGAATTATAAAAAAAAAGAGATAAATATAAGGAAAGTAATTATAATATATGGAAATAAAAAATATAAAAAATATGAGGAAATAAGAAAATAAAGAAATATAAAATATAAGGGAATTAAATAATTGGTTGTAATAAATAAATATAAGGAAACTAAATAATAGAAAAATAAATATGAGGAAAATAATAAATATAAATATATAAGGAAATTAATAAAATAATGCTAGAGATGTTGTTATAGATTTGTCATGATAATGTAAACAGGTTAGAGTGAAGTAAGTTGGTATGGCACCGATATCCTAATAAATATATAAGGAAAAGGAATTAGAATCAGTCAGGCTTCCAGTATTTTAAGAGATACAGCCTTCTATGCCTACATGTGATCATTAGCTCGGTCTGCTTATTGAGTAGACCTAAACTGTTAATATTTTTGAGGATGAATCTTTTCTCTAATAGTTATATGTTGCATTGCCCTACTCCTGCCAGAAAAAGGTTTGGTTTGTGCTATGAATTCCCATTTTACATTAGGTGTGTAGCCATCTGTTTTGATACTCCAGTAGAACTTAGAGATTGCTGTGGCGCTTGCATATTTTTTGTTGCTAAGTGTCATTTTATGATGGTAAATTGTTAATGGTGGATCTGAAATAAAATTTAATATGGTCATTATGCTTGATGCTAGCCTTATATATAATTCCTTTACACATGCATTTACCGCTCATGGGACAGAGATCACTGTTGTGACAATTGTATTTCTGATCATCAGGGCTACCAACATGGAACCGTCATATAGCCTGATGTGCTATACCATTTAGCTACAGAGGAACTAAGGTCAAATTACTGTTTTTAAACTACAAATTTCCCATGATTTCTCTCAAATGCTCATATCTGCTTGAAGCATACCTTAATATAAACAAATGACATACTATATTATTAGATGAAGTCTGACAATTATTTGAATATATTTTCCGTTTATATGATGTCAAACTTTAAGGGAGAACTGTATATATGTATTTCCCACATGTCAGTCAACCACTGTTACCAACAGTTGCATGAAAATGCAACAGTTTGGCTAATCTAGAGATTCTAGATGTTTTTGTGGCTCAATTTCCAGTGCCCTTTTTCCAAATAATGCCACACATACAAAAAAAAGAAAAAGAAAAAAAAAAGAAAATTCATAAAATATCAATATTTATTTATGATTTTCTCCCACTCGTTATTCATGGGTGGAAGGCGTTAAGGGGGACAGGAGTCTTAGGTGTTTCTTTTTTCTTTTAGAAAGTACATTGTTATTTCAATCTACATTTTTTTTTCTTCTTCATCTCTTAAAATATTTTCATACACTAAAAGTTTTTCCTCCACCCTTCTTTCACTGATTGTCCTTTACTCTTCTTATCCATTCGAAAATGTTGTTTAAGGTAAATTTATCAGCTTCTAAATTTATGATGAAAGTGTATTTAAACATTTTATTTTCTTGCAAATTGACAAGAAAAAATAATAAACACTATTTATTAGATTGTCTATTTACAAAAAAATAATTTTATATTTACGACATTCAAAAAACAAATATAATGCAATATATATCATTTACCAATATATAAAGAAATAAATATGAAACAATTATTCATAAATTTATAAACATTTACTAAATTATTAAAATATTTGAACCAACTCTCAGGAAATCCTTATTATTTGACATTAAAGTTTGAATCAATTGACAAGGTTATGGACAGGTTTTATTACAATTCTAATCATCTCTTTTTAAAACAATAAACATTGTCAAGGAGTGAAGGTAGTTAAAATAATAGTGGTGTCAAGGGAAAAAAACTGTCCTTTTGGCACTCCATTTTTTTTGCAAGAATGAAGGTTCAAGTTCTTTGTGGCAGAAAACAAAGACATTCAAGTGTCAGCTTTATACTTGCTTCTCAAATCATCTTGATAAGATGATACATTACATAAATGGATTGCTTCATCAAATTTTCCATAAATATTTTCATATATTTTTAGTACTAAAAACAGGGAAATACATTATATTGAAAACCACAAGGGTAATTAAAATAAAATTAAATATACCTTTTTTATTCCTCTCTGAAGCAACCTGCCTTGCCTGTTCAAACATCGCCATGAAATCAAAAGTACGGGCTTTCCTTTCCGATTCTGATCCCAAAACAAAGGATAAAAGAAATATTAATGACAAACAAGATCAAATGATTAGCAAGATAACATATTTTTTTAATCCCCATTTTAGATTATTTCAATATTCTTTTGGATTACTTTTCATACAGCTGAACTAAAAGAATGTACAAACAGTAGAATATTGTGTTCTTAAATGACATACATGAATAGGTGCTTAAAAGTCCTTGACACAACCAAGATGAGGATCAAAAAAAGATTTTCAGATGTTTAGTCACTTGGTCAGATTATGGTACAGGCCAAGAACTTTCCTGCACCCTCTCATCGACTGAAAATAAATAAATTTATTATGTAATATTTTAGGATTAAAAACAGATGCAGCATCTCTTTTTGCTTACTCAGTATGAAATTATTGAAACCAGAAATAATTTATAATTGTTTTTATTGTGTATAAAATGCTTTGCATGGTAATACATAATAACATTACTTGTTACCTGTTACCAAATATAATCAAATATTACATTGTTGGTTGATTTTACAATGTTCACACTTGGGTTATTTAATATTGAATATTTGTATGAAGCACACAGTGAAAATCAAACTTACTAATCCTTAGTAATGGTTAACTAGATTAACCTCACTAACCATTTATCCCATGCCGAGGTGCATGATATATTAGATTAATAAGTAAGTGAATAGATCAACACAGAAATGAAAGTAATAAACACAAAGGAAAGAAAAACTCACTGTTTTTTTGTTCATTTTTGAAGTCTGGTCTTAATTCACTGGAACTTGATCCATAAGAAGCCTGTTTATAATCATGAGCCGCTACAAAAATAACACCAGAGAGAAAAATAACAAGCATGAACTCAAATGAAGCTGATGTAATTTTAACTGCTGGAGAAAACTTCAAGTAATTAAATACAGTGTAACCCGGATATAAGAGAGATTTTCTCTGGTCCCAAATTAGAACCTGTGTTAATGTATATAAAATAGACCAAACCCGGATATAAGAGACTTCTTCTCCGGTCCCGACAACTCTCTTATATCAGGGTTACACTGTAGTAATAAATTAAAAGTTAATAATGATAAACTCAATGAAAAGGTTAAAATTGCAAAGAGACATACCATTAAGAAAATGTATCATAGAAACTGTAAAAATAAAGATCAATTCGTTTTCTACTGCTTATCAACCCTTTGAAGGTAATTTAAAGCCAGAAAATATTTTTAAATTGTAAGAATTTGTTTTTTGAGATAATTAGTAAGACTTTTAACACTAAAGCATAAATTCAGAATTGGGGGAGAAGTGGTGATTTCATACCTTTCCCAAGGGTACTTGCATGTAAGTGAATGTAAATGAACCCAATGGGAATTGGAACATGACTCTCCGATTAACAATTGTGAGCCATTTAAACCACCTGCACATCCAAGCTTACAGCAATTGGTATTCCCATAAAATAAAGAAATACTGATTACTTATATATATGTGTGCGTGTGTATATGAGAGGAAAATTATATCACAGAAGAATAGGACTTGATACGTGGAAAACATCTGACTGTTACTGCAAGTAGAAATTGTTACTAACAACAGTTAAAGTAAACCAAAAAAAAAGTATATAATCAGTAATTAATGTTGCTAAGTGTCTTTATGTAAAAAAAGTGAATATCAATATTGAGTATTTTGTACATGAATAAAGTGTTAATTTATTATTAGAGACCAATGTCCTTAGGTTTCCCTTTTTAGACCAATATTTTTTGGAGATAAATACATATCCACCTTTTTAATATTTCTTTGAAATTTAAATTTCCAATTACTTAGTACTCACTAAAGAACATTATAAATATAGGAAATCAAAAGTCATATTTAATGTTTTGGGGGAGGGGAAAGACTACTTCAATTTAATTCATTTAAAGTTAATTAGAAAAATATTTTTGTTTACAATCGTAGATAAAAAAAAAATGGATGTATGCGATTGTAAAAAAAATAACTGTCCGATATATGTGATACTTATGAAAGCAGACAAAATACTAACCAAATACCACAAGAATATACACCCTCAATTTCATAAAAAAATAGAAAACCAAGTGTAATGATATACAATAATACTTAAAATAAGAACCAAACCTCGAAGAGAACGCATTTCTTCTAAATCGTCGTCCGCCATGTTTAATAATTTGTAAACAATTCTCTCCTCCGTTAGAGAGTTCCTCGGCGGTGATAAGTCATTAAGTGTCGCCTGTGAATAAATGACTGAACTCGGGCCAAGATCGCAAAACATTCTGACATTACTCACATTATTGTTTCATAGTTTTTAATAATCAATGAAAATTAAGCATTCATTTTTCATTCTGCTTGATATCATTTTAATATTTAAACTTAGCAATCTGACAGCACTAATCACAAGCAAACAGAACTTGTAAGTATTCATGATTTCTTTTTGGAAGAGGTATTTTAAAAATTCTATACCAAAAAATTAAATTACTGTTTTCTCCCAATAGTCAAATATAGACACTTATTTGATTATTATATATATATATATATATATATATATATATATATATATATATATAAGAGAATGGTTACTAAGTGTTAAAAATTATGAGTGAAAGAAAAGCATTAATAAGGAGCAAGAACGATAAAAGAACAGGAGTTAAGAAAAAAGAAGATAATGTTTGGCATTGCATTTCAATTTTTGAAGATCAAAGTACATTGGAAAGCAAGAAATGTGAGAGAAGAAACTGTTAGCATAGAACTTGCAGTTACATTTAACAATTTCAACTGTAAAATGATTAAATCTAGCTGCCAATCTAGAAATGTGCTTAAATTTGTAAATGATCCAAAATTTATCAGAACAATTACCATGAAATTTTTTATAGAAAAGGTACAGGGAAAGAGACTGACGTCAAGATGCCAGGTCAGGACTGATAACATTGCAGTTTCTTCTTTGGGTATTATGAAGAATCTCTAAATACACAGAAGTGCTTGTAAAATTCCTGCTTTGCTATATGACAGGATGATGAAATAATTTTTATTTTACTTCAGTCTAGCATCAAGTTTATTTATAAAGGAATTGAATAGAAAAAGATGCTTCTATTTAGAATAGTTCATTAAAGGATAAAAAATGATTTGTTTTTGTGTTTATTTACTGGGAATCAGTTTCCAGATTTAATTTTTGAACCTTTTAATTTTTCAATTGAAACAAAAAGAAAATGATGCTTTTCTAATAATGTTTCAAACTTCATTTTTATGAATAAAAAAACACTGAATTGTCTTATGAATTCTACAGTTAATAGCCATATTATTTTCATCTCCAATGTTTGTCTTAATTTATGATCATTCAGGTTTTTTTCCACTTTCAATGCACAACATAAAAGACTGAGTGCTGAAGTTTTGCTAAAACCAATTTTTATGTAAAATCTTCCACATTTAGGATCAAATCATTTCCTGACTGCTAGAAATAGTTTATTAGCATGAAGTATTGAGGGATAATGACAAGGAAGTTTGTAAGCTCCCTTTACCACCGGTCAAAAAATTTTTTTCACATAGGCTCACTAATTTGAAAACAATGAAGAAAAGAGTTATTTTTATTTATATTCCCCATACCGCCTCTAATGAGAGCAGGGAAATTTCAAGGAACTTTGTTCAAAACCAAAGCTAAATACCTTAAAATATATCTTGTCATTCATGTTGAATACAACCTTATAACTTTTATGTGAAAAACAAACTCAATTTGTTTTAAACATTTTGAAATTTTACTTTGGGTCTGATGATTTAATAGGAACAATTTTTTCTTCTTGAAAATTCATTGAAACTATGAACTTTAAATATTTGATTCCTTTTCTTGAAACAAGCTACTAACCACTTCAAATGTGTAAATTTGTAAATAAATTCCTTATCTTGTTTTGTTAAATATAAAACGTGCTTCCTCATCATTATCTATCAATGCTTCACTGGCGACCTGCAACATGTGAGGAAACTAAACACATATCTATTCTTACTGTTTTCACAATAAGTCAAGATGTTTTCACATTAGCTAATTACTTTTTCTCAGTTTGTAAGCTGCTCCCTTTTTCATTGGTTAAAATAAATTTTCACATAGGCTCGTTACTTTCTCTTTTTCAGCCTTGAGCCAACCCCTTTTCTAGTGGCCAAAATTAATTTTTGCATTGCAAAATTGAAAACAGTGGAGAAAAAAGAGTTATTTTTATTTCATATTCACCACAAGTGTTGAAAAAAACTAAAGTTCAGAAGGAGAGTGTTGGAGTAATGATAAAGTCAGTGGGCTGTGATAAAAAGAGCTAACTGGGCTCAAATGTAATCTGTGCTAAAATATAATCATATTGCTCACCCCCCTGCACACACACACTTGCATGTACTGCCAGAATTGATCTTGTCACTTCTCGATGTAAACATTAGAACAAAAGTTTGGATTTATTTCAGAATTCTGACCCATGGCATTAAGATTTATTAGAAATATGTGAATTTTGGAATATATTTTATTGGGTATATGACAATTTGTGGTAATAGGAAAAGTAAACCTTTTCTTGTGTCTAATTTGAAAAGTTTTTTTTTGTGTGTGTGTTAATGTATCATGTTTTGTAATAGATAAATAAATTCCATATATCAATACCTGGCAGTGAATATTTTTGGAGAAGCAGAAGCAAATATCTAATGTGCTTCATGTATCTTAGGCTGAATGTTGATTGTTTGAGAAGAGACAGACTTTATTTGTTCTATAAACAAAGGATCTTTTATTTTTGTGCTTGATGTCAATGAGATGAAATAACATCAAGGATTTCATATCAGATGGCATTACAACAATAAGAAAACAAAACCAAGACAAACATAGAATTATTTTTTACTTAACCAACCTTTTTAGCCAAAATGTATTTTTCCAATAAAAAATATGTTGAATGCAAAAACTATATGACATGAAAAATGATTTCTTAATTAAAAATTATATGCAAATAAAATATTATTTAAAATACATTAAGCAAGATCAGGATTTTAGTTAATAAAAAAGAATGACAATTTACTTATGCAGACACAGAAGGAAGTTGTTGATAACTCATCATTTATATCTGTTTGTCTTCTCAGCGAATGCATGATTCTGATTGTCTTGTTTGGTTAGTAAAGACATTTTCTTATTTCCAATTTAACAAGTAAAAATTTAATCACTGATAAATCTTTTACGTTGTCTGCATTTAAGATGAATGTTTACTAATCTTGAAATAAAGGCTGACTTGAGTGAAGTGGACATTTCTATTGGCAAATACATGACAATTTATCCACAATTCTCTGCACTCAGATGATTCTTAGAAAACCCAATCTCCACAATTAATATCTGAATATAATGAAATTTTGGAAGTTCTTTAACCTTTTTACAGTTTGTTTCTAACAACTTCGGCTTCACTTTCTGATCTTTGTTAACAAGTTAAAAGAATTAGTAACACTTTGTAATTGAAACTCAACTAAAGTTTTGAAACCATTGTTTTTAATAATGTCAACAAAGACTGCTGTCATATTACATATTTAATAATTCTTTTTTAATTCCTTTATTTTCTTATCTATTCACCTGTACCCTTCCCCCTCCCTCCCATTTCTGTTTGTATATCTCACTTAAAGTGAATAATTGTTGGGGTGAATCAGAATATGAAATTTCTAGCTTCATTTATCTTTCTACAGTTTTTGTGGCATAATAATTTTTCATGCTCTTTTGTAGAACTCAACCAAAGACCATTTTTCAAACGCAGTCGGAGCAAAAGCAAGATGACGACAATGACAGTGATCATGAACCTGTGTGGAAAAAAACAAAATTAGCAGAAGAAAACGAATAAAACAAATTTCATTTTCTTTTTTTTTTTTTTCAATAACACAAAAAGCTATTTGTTTTTAATTTCCATATCATTTTTTCAATCTCAAGTTTGTAAATATGCATGATGCCATTTGTGGCAAAATTGTGATGAGTTTTGTAACAATGTTCTCTGATCGTTCATCATTCAGTGCACCTGTGATGACATCCAAGATTGAGTGTATTTGCATATTTGCCCAACTCACTATATGCACAGGTTTGTCTTCTCAGTCTTAATCGCTTTCAACAAAAAATATGAAGACAATTGTTTTTCAAGAATCTTTGGCTAGGAAGTAGCAACAATATGACTTCTCACTTAAACGTGGGATCCTTCCTTCAGCTTCCACAGGTGGGCTGCTATTTTCCTAACTGCACTGGCCTCAGTGACTCCTGATTCTTCCCTACCGGTCCTTCTGCCACTGGCCAGCTCCAACTCCTCTGATAACCTACTTATTTCTCTCACGGCTGGACCCACTTTGCCTGACTTCCTGCCTCTCTCTGCTTATGTGGATAATCTTGGGGTCCCACCCACTCCATCCACTTGTCTTTCCAGAAGATTTAGGACCACCACAAAGCCACATGGGTGGTCAAATCTTCAAAGGACTACTTTTATGGCTATCTAAAATGATTTATAAAATTTCCCTATTCAAAGACAAACTGGAGACATTAATCCTGAAACACTAACCTTTAAGTTCACTCAAGATGGTCTGGAGACGAAATTCCTATGAAACTCCAATAGTTGAGTGGACTTAAAAGGAAAGAATTCATCTCCTTATCTTCTAAAGACGTGTGAAAAATCAAATTGTTATATATGTACATTCAAGAAATTGTATGCTTTGCAAGGTAAATGACATATGGAAAAGGCATGAATCCATGTCTACCTTTGCTTGATATCTGATCATCACTGACAAACCATAATGAAAGTGGAAAGATGAGCATATTTATAAACCACTCTTGTAACTATTTTACCTGCCGAAGCAGCCAAACAGCTGTTACTGCCATTGTTAACCTTGACCTAGGATCAATCTATTGTTAGCTCATTGAGACAGCAAATTCCTTTCCTTTATGTTTTTTTTATAAACATGTGAAAATGAAACTAAGATGGCTGTAAATGGCAAAGATTGTGTGTATGGACATGAATAGGCTGTTTGTTTTTTTTAATATAAGTATTTAGTAATTAAAAAAAACTATTTAGTAGCAACAATAATTTTCATGTTAACCAATGATAAATTAATCAGAACAGTGAGCTTACCATTTTTTAGAATTGGAATTTCATCAGATTTAAGAACAATTTTCATTCAAGCCCAATTTTATTTTAGACAAAGCCAAAAGAAAAAATAGCTTTAAAAGAAAACATTTTAATTTTCACATCATTTTATTTTAAT